CGGAGCTCCAGGACGTCTTCATAATGTATACATAAATAATAGAAATTAAACCCCAACTGATGGCATATAATTGCCAAGTGAAAGAACTACTGGGTGCACAAGTGACAAGTCCGAGGCTGAGGAGCTCACTCACTGCAAACGTACATTTGAAAAGAGAGGTCACAACTGAGGCTGTCGGCAAAGCTTGATCCACGTCAAAGGAAGAAAGAGGGAAAGTCTCCAGACAAAAAATTGTGGTCAGCGGCCTTCGAAAAAGACTTTCCGGAATCGCACTGTCGTCCCTCCATATGAAAGCACCCGAGCTTGTACCACGTGGTTCATGACACAGCCTGAGCCATGTCGGCGACCGGTTCGCGAGGGATTGGCGGTGGGGTTACGTTGATGGTCACTCGGATTAGCCCTTGCTGTACTGAGCTACCGCCTGCAGTGCCTTATCGCCGGCTGGTGTCAACAACGAGAACACACACACCCTGTCTACACCAAAACTACAAGCGTTCACCGCACACGCGTCGCCGCCGCTTTTAAGCTTTTGTGAAATTGCTTTCTTTTGCCGCGGAGAACCGCCTTATCTTAACTACGCGCCTGAAATCCTTCCAGGCGGGCGTACACAATATCAAGCGTTTCGAGAAATGCCCGTGGAGTAGAACTATGGGAAAATTCCGAGCCCGCGATGTCGATATCGTCGCCGTTGTGTTAGTACGCCGTCGCGTACTGCAGTCCCCCGTTGGGGGAGGGGGGGGGGGGCGGTCTTACTACGATAACATGGCGACAGCGTTTACACTCTATGTATTTACGCGAGGCTCGAGTATTTGGGGATAATGCTGCCGGTTGGTGTGCCCCTTTGTGCCTGATATTATCGCCCGTGACGCCAGCGAGTGAGATGGCGACAGGCATGACTGCTCAGTAAACAGGCGTCGGCGGCCATGTTTTGCTGGTTGAAGCGAACCCCCTTGTCCTTGACAGCGAGCGGGGAAATGCGAAAAAAAGATTGTATCGGCCGTTTTGCCAGAACTAGCGACGAGTGTCGTCTGCGGTTTCCGGCAACTATTTTGCCATAATCGTGAGCTTAGCGAGGAAATGATTTTTGCTAGCCACAGAACACTACCACGCAGAAAGGGAATGCTTGAACATGTTTTTGTTCTGGATATATATCAGGGATATATATGAGAGAGAGAGAGAGAGAGAGATGAAGGTAGAGCGGAAGAGGGAATAGCATATAGTGTCGCAGGAGAATAAAGTAAACAAAGTTCCTAGTGGCCGATGGCTGCATGATCTTTTCTCGGATCACTAGTCCGTAATATGATACCTCTTTGTACACAGTAGTTTCTCCTTAATTTAAGTGTGTGAACGATTTCTTTAGTTATCATTGGCCTCATCTGAATAAAAATATATAAAAGATGTGTGTTAATTTCATGAAACTGGAACTCAGAGTCAGTTCTTGTATAAAACACTGCTAAGTGTAGGCTTTGAAAAAGGACCCTACTTTGGGGAGTTGTATCTTCTTTCTCAATAAAATGATGCAACATGTTTTAATGGAAATGAATGCCGAAATAGAGTATAACAGGTTACCTAAATTTAAAAAAAAATCGGAATTTTTCTTTGTTTGATTTTTTTTCCATGTTTGACTAAATATATCCTAACTATTGTATCACACAGATACCTTAGTTATTTTTTAAATATTAGCTATATAGTAGTAGAATAATATCTGCAAATTATATCATAATGATTAAATTATTTCATGAGATACAGACCTCCAAAGTTTGCCATTTGTCGTTCGAGCAGGCATGTTTGTCAATTTTTAGAAAAATAAATAAATTTTAAATAAATATGATTACTTTATATTACAAGCAAGCTATACCCATAGTTTGCGCCTAAAACGTATTAGAGTTCTCCTAATGTTATCGCTTTAGTTATTCACTCTCAAACGGGCCCCCTCCATCAGTGCGCGTTAATGCAACTGTCCACCACCTCATGCCTTACGATTTTTCCTGTCCCCAAGTATTTTTTCTAGTCAAAACTAAGTTTGGATTCGTTCATACCAGACACTAGACAATAGCATATAAAAACATCAGTTGATTTGAAAATGTCGACTAGCCATCCTTTGGTCGATCTTATCTGAAATCACCCTATATCGTTTGTATGGCCGCTATTAGGACTCCAATCTGGTACTATGAGCGTTTTGAACGGGACTTCGCATAGACGCTCAGCTGAGCAGAATTCTGACCTATGTAAGGTTTTCTATTTAATGTTAGTACGTGCATCAATATCTGAGCGTAAAAGCCAGTGAAACAACAATATTTATTTACTTGGCACTGGGATGATTTGCAAGGTGTCCGAGCTTCGCCCTATGTATTGACGGAGAAGATACGCAACATCTAGACTCCCGGACAAACTTAAGTCAAGAGGGAAGAGCCTAAGTAACCCGGCATGAATCACTGAAAATAGAAATGAAACCTTAAGACTAAACCATTTGAACCCTTACACGCTACGAAATGCTCATTATTTTACGAAAGGGACTGTACGTGCACAAAATAAACCGCACTTAATTCCTAAGCGTCAGATAGTAAATCGTACACATGTAATGCACTAAATGTTTGACATTAGAAAAAATGACAATTACATATCAAGTTCGGTATTTTAAACTCAAAGCCGAAAGCAAAAGGCCCCAGAGGAATTCTCTAACGATCTGCATTCCCCCGTATTGGGAGAAAGTAAGCGCTGGTGCCCGCACTTGTGGATGCGGACTTCTAAACTTTTTTTTACGTGCACTACTCCAAACTTCATCAATGTTTATGGTTGGATATTGCGATAACTGCTAAAGATAAATAGAAAACCTTGCATAAGCCGAAATTCTGCTCAGCAGAGCGCCTGTGGGTTTTTTAGAAACTGGACTTCAAACTTGCAAGTTCTTCTAAACATTCATTTTTCAGGCAAATGTTCCGCGTTGTACGTTTAGCGGAAAACATTCAAATTATGCTCCGAAGAGAGAGCTTAAAGGGGCCCACCAACAGCTTTTTGACCGGTTTGAAGTTCGCGCTTAAACGGAGCTCCATGAAAGCAGGAACACCGAGGAAAAAAAATATTACAGAAATTCGCGATATTTTGTGAGTTATTAGCAAATTAAATATTGCAGAAAACAACTTTAAATAAGCAAAACATTGCGCTTCATGACGTAAAATGAAACCGTTCGGCGATTGGAGCAAAGCGGTTGGCCAATTGGACGCGAGTTTGGTTGATAGCCTGTCGGCCCGGTCGGCTCGTCGGCCATTAGGCCTAGCTGCAACCATCGTAGCTTTGGGATCGGGTTGATAACATCGATGAATTTAGCGGGCTTATCAGGTTTTGAGTGCGGACCTGGGCGTCGCGCCGTACGAGGACACTTCACGCAAGCGCCGCGTCTCTGCCTCAGTCCGCTTCGACAGCCGCGGAAGACTCGTCTCCCGCAACTCCGCCACCGGAGCCACCTCGGCGAGTAGGAGGTACAAACTGGTGAGCGGCACCGTTGGGTACCATATAAGCTGGGTCCCGTCGCCGCACTTCACTCGAACAGTGAAAAGTCTGTCACAGCACTAAAAGAAAATAAGGGTTCCCTTGGCTCCTCTTACTGCTTTTAGTTGACCGGGACCGGGGGCGCACAAGGAAAAATACGATGCGCGCTGTCTGCACGGATCACTTGTCGTCTGCTCGCGATGGTACGTCGCGGACGCCGCTGGGAGGCGCGTATGGCGCTCTGACGAGGCGTACGAGGCGTTGCTTTCGCCCTTTTTGAACTTTACTTTGCAACTTTATTAGCTCTATAAAAATAAATTGTTAGTGAAATAATGACGGTTAACGTGTGATATACTTTATTTCGCTTCAAAATTCCTGGGACGGCTCTCGCCAATCACGAAACCCAGAAAATGTGACGTATAGTGAAAGGGAGCGCCGTTATGCGCGCGCCTTCGGCACCTCACGGCGCCACCGTCGGAGGAGGTGTTTCCGAGTTGTCAAATTAAAATACGATGCGCTAATATTTTCAAACTCTTTCGTTGTCCACTGGGTTTCCGGGACCACTAGCGTGTAGAAACCGCAAAAAAAAGTCGACGCTCAAATACTGTTGGAGGGCCCCTTTAATTGGAGCTTTACGGTGTTGTAAAGATCATAAAATATATTGTCGTCATCGAGGCAACCAGCATCAATAAAAGAGCTGCACTGTCTGGCTTGACTGCTGGTTGAGGACTTATGGGGACCCCAAGGAGGCCTTCAGGAACCCCATGTGAACCTACATTTGAAAGCCACTAATAGAATTCCACACCCGTTTGTTTTCTTTGGAACAGGAGGTGCCCATGGAAGAAATAATGTTCCCTGTCAACATTTGCCTTTTTTTTTCTCCATGTCGAGACTCGCTACACCTGGCGCCAAGTTTCCACAAGAATGCAGGTGCAAAGATTTGACTGCCTTGCGAGTTTTCAGATTTCTATAAAAAAAAATTTACCCCGAGCGCTCGACTGGCTTGTATCTGCGGCAGCATGTTCCGGTAATTTCTAGTTCTTTACAAGAGACAAGGCCAGCAAAATATAGAAAATGAATCATTCTGGCTCCCGTAATCCAAAGTTATTTCCACCGCCGTACGAACCAGCTAAGAGACCATAGGTCTTCGAAGCTGCTCCTTCAGACCGTTTCATAACTTGCAACGACCGACCATGAAATAATGTTCTTTATTCTGGCCACAAGTGCTTAGAAGAAAAATCACGTTCAGAAAGTATGCAACACAAATCTTTTTCTTCCCCTTTACAGGTATCCATTTTTTTCAAAATCATGTTCCCAGAAATCAGATTTTGCGCAAATCTGGAAGCAGCTCCACAAGTGACACAGCCATGTTTCTTCAACGAGCCACGATGCAGCAGAACGGCAACCTACCTTTGTGAAGAAGCTGCCCGTGTTTCACAGAACTCGGAGATTCCGACGAAGGAAAACATGAACAGAGATGTAATAAGGCGACGCAAAGAATAGTCGGCGTATAGAAATAAATAATGGTTTATTATGACGCATTATATTGGCACTGGAGTCTGACGCGAGCCTCACTCAGACTCCCATATATATATAATATATATGCATATATGTACACACACAGTATAATGTCGCATACCAACACAGAATGGTGTATTGTCCTATAATGCATATGTACAACTGAGGACGTGAGAGGGAATAAAAGCACTGTCGTTGTCACACACTCCGCACAACTGCGATTCCTGCTCAAATAAATACAAGCCGCACCGATGCACGTCATGCGGTTCAAACACAGAAAGACAAACACGGAGAAGAAAAACAAAATTAAAACAATTAGAGGAGGTGCCAATGCGTCCACGAAAACCTCTTTGTTAGTACGCTACTTCGCCGCCGCACACGAGAAAGGCCACAAACCAGGGAAGTCTTCGTTCCCTCCTTTTTCTGCTCGTGTCCGCAGGGTCACAGCCGAAAAGCGAGCCGTCCTTTCGCGCTTAAGTACACTCTCGACGCTGGAACGCGGCAGGGGTGCTGTCCGAAACCAAGGCCCAAGGAGAGATTGTGCCGGCCGGGCAGTCGTGGCTTTCCTTGAGGGGATGCAGCCTCCAAGCTTCTCCCAAAGACGCTTCCTCCAGTGATTACGCCTCACCTCCACAAAGGTGCTTCCTAACCTCTTTCCATTCGTCCGACGGTGTGGTTGGTGTCCGTTTTTGTTCACTACTGGCGAGTCCAGACTCAGAAAAGCATGTCACAACACAAAGAGAAATGTCAAATGCAATAGACGCAGCCTCGAAAAAAAAAATAAAGAAAGCATTGAATTCTGCAATTTTCTTCCCCACCCAGTCGCTCCAATTCTCTAGGAAGTTCCCGGCCGTGCCGTTGCCGAACCCACGCCCGCCATGTCCACAACCGGACGACCCCCGAAACGAAAATTTTAAAAGGGTGAATGTATTGACAAATAAACTACGGGCGGCCCTGCGTGCCTTCCTGCCACTCTGCAAGGCAAAAACAACTAGAGTGCATGCCACGAACCCAACAGGTACGGTGCCGCCGCACAACCGACACCCCCATCCCGAGAGGAACGGTGCATCGCGGGAAAACCCGCCTCGGCCACCCCCAGCTAGGCTTTCCTGCGGCGTAGCCGAGATACGGCGTCGCGTCGAAAAAGAAAAAACCACAACGTCGGCCGATTTTCAGCGTCGGCACGGCCGGAAGCACCCGCAAAGCACTCCGTGAACTCGGGGCCTTCCGGCATTTTGAGGTCGAATCGCCCCTTGGAGCGCGAGGGACTGCGAAGAGGCGCAACCGGGACAACCCGACTGGAACGGGGCAATCGATTGCTCGACCGGATCGGCGTCGCCTGCGCCATCGTCTCCGAGCAATCGGGTGCCAATCTAGCTTTCCCCCGCCAGACCAAGCGAGGCCGCACCGTACCGTAGAAGGACATCGAACGGGACGGACCCCACTCCCGGCAGCCATGGAATGCTCTCTCGACCGGTCGGCCAGCAACGACAACACGTGTGGAGCGACGGTCCCCAGAAAAACGCGAGAAGCTCGGCTCGCCGCCACAAAAGTCCTAGCCGCAAAGGCCACCCGAGAAAAAAGCACCAACAGACGCCGCGGGCATAGCCCCAGACCACACGAGCACGTCGGACATGCGGATATGCAGGGAGCTTACGAGAAACGAGAACCGTGTTTTTCGGCTCGGGTGGACAGATCATGCATCGCAGAAAGCTCCAAATCCGTGAGGGTGCGACCCCGGCGATTGAGATGGAACGCAAAACTTAAGAATGTGACGTCGCCTGGATCGAAAGGTAATTGGGAAAAGCGAAATTTCTCCACGAGCCGACGTCCACCTAAGCCTAATTTCGTTAAAACAAGAAATGAGACTGGGGGAGCGTGTAGCATCTATTTCAGTGAAAAAAACTTGTCAGCAAGAAAGAAAACAATATCCTCTTTCATGCTCAGGTTTTTTTGTTTCTTTTCACCGATGCTACATGATCCTACAGTGTCGTTTTTTTTGTTTTAACGATATTAGGCTTAGGTCGACGTCGGATCAAAAAGAAATTTCGTCTTTCTCAATCGTCGTTTGATCAAGGTGACGTGGCGTTCTCAAACTTTCCCGTTCTGTCCCATCCGCCAGCGTCACATTCCCACGAATTCCGAGTATACCCATCCGAGCCCAAGAACACGGTTCTTGTTTCCCGGGAGCTCGGAAACACCGCAGACACCATACTTTTTTTTTTTCTTTTTCACGTTTTGTTCTGTAGCCTGTACACAAAAAGAAAAAAAAAACAAAATGGAGCTGCGGGGAGGATGGGCGTTTTTCTGTTCGGAGAAGAGGCGAGAAACCGAGGCAACGGGCCTTCCGCGCACTCTGGACGTAAAACGGGAAACAAACGTAAAAACGACGAGAGGGAAGTCAGAGGCACTTATGAACGGCACTGCTCGAGAGCAAGCGTCGATCCTTCGTCCGCGACTCGCGGATCGCACCCCGCTCCTCGTGCGACGATAAATAATGCGGGCGGGTGCCTCGTACGTACAATGCGTGGCAGATCGTAAAACAAACGGGCAAAGCAAAACGCGGGGTTACGAGGGATGGCTAGAGAGAGAACAAAATTAAAATGTGTCGATGTCGCACACGAGAGCCTAAGAATAAAAGGGGTGGGGGGGGGGGGGGGGGGGGGGACGAAGAATGAACATGCAGTCTGCACTTGGGTGCGCTAGATAAAGCACATAAACAAAAAAAAACACAAGAAAACAAGTGAAGAACAAACCAAAGCAAGGGCAAACACACCACAACACTTCCGGTCTTTGGCACCACTGCATAACGATGGCACAGTTGTCACAAAACGAAAAAAGAACTCACTAAAACAGAAACCAAAATCGAACGAGGAACGAAAAAAAAAAAAGAAAAGAAAAACCCGTATGAGAAATATTGTTGCAGCCATCCTCTTCCTCTCGCGGGCACGGCGGCACTTCGCGAAACGCGACGCAGAGGTCGACGCGAAACCGGTTTCGACGGCACGAACCGTAATCCTGGGAGAAACCGGCAACCTTCTCCGACATGGGAGGAGGGAGTGGGGGGGGGGGGGTCACTGGGGCAAAGCTTGTCCTGAGTAAATTTCGAGGCCGCCGAACGGGGCAATCACACTGAGTTCCGTCTCTCCTGCCGGATGACCGCCGACCCCCTGAAGTCATGCCCGGGCCGATCCGGCCGATCCGCGCCGGAATAGCAGACGCTGCGCCCGTCGAAGCGTCCAAGGCGTCTGCGTGCATGTCGACTGTCAACGGCTAACTGAGCAACATTTTTTCCTCGAAGGCAAACTTGACTAGACGTAACAACCAAAACAAATAGTTCACAAAAAAAGAAAAGAAAAAAGGGCACGACAGGCATGTTCTAGGAGCCAAGTGGGAACTGGTCTTCAGAAAGAAAGAAGGATCTGTTGTTCTGATGTGCAACGGACAAAACGAAATTGGGGAAAAAAGAGCGAGCAGGGGCGGGACAAAAAAAAATGACTTCTCCGCTTGGAGCAGAAGTACCCGCTTGTCTACCTTGTGGTGTTATGGCCCGGCTGTACCCTCCTGGGCCGGTGGCCGCTGAGATGAAAGCTCTCCCTCGCCAAAGCCTCGCCCGACAATCACGGAATGTAGTTTGAACAGCCTGGCTTCCTCCTGGCCAAGCCTTCGAGCCACGAGAGACGTCCACCCTTCCCGGTGTAATCTACGAGGATCCGCACCTTCCCTACACGAAAACGTGCTCGGAACCTAATAAAAAATAGGCGTCGCCTCCTCAAAAAAAAAAAGAAAAGGAAGGAAATCTTTGAAGTGGCAAACAAGACTGAGGCACATCATTTTTTTTTTCTTTTGAGCAGCTCTGTGCCTTTTGCGGGAGGGCGCAGTCGTTCTCCGTCGCGGCGCGCACACCCTAAGACGCGGAGAATAATAAAAAAAAAGACGACGCGCCCTTTTGACAAACTTTGCCCCTCGTCTCGCTTTCCCCCCACGAAATAAGGCCACCAGCTGTTTCGCTTTCCACCCTCTCCCCGGGAACCACGGCGAAGCTCAGCAGCTCAGCACTGCGACGGCTGCGCGTTCTTCGGTCGCCGAGCAACCGCAGTTGGACGCCCGGCGGAGATGCGCCCCCGCGTGAGAGGAGAGTCTGCGACGGCCGTCGTCGCGCACAGAGAAGGAGGAGGAGCGGGGCTAGCAAGCGGTAGTCCGACTGCCCTGCTGCGAGAAGCACATGCGTCCGTTGATGATGCTTCCGTTGGACAGGTTGCTCACCTTGCTCCCCTTGCTGCCGTCCGACGGCAGCTTCTCATCGCGCGTCCCTGGCGGTGAGCACCCGCGGCGGCCGCCCGGCGCGCCGGCGCCACCCCCCGCCGCCACCGCGTCACAGCACACGTCCCCAACGCAGATGTCCTCGTCGTCATCTTCGTCGTCGTCAATGCAGTCAGAGAAACACCGCTGCAGCCTGTCGTCGTCCATGTCGTTGAGAGACGACGAGTCCGGGTTGAAGCCCGCCGACGGAGCCTGGCGTAGGGGCGTCTCCGCCGTCGAGTCCTCCTCTTCGTCCTCCGCGTCTCCGGCGGAGGGGGAGCCCCCCGCAGCGCCGCTCGGGGCGGAGGGGCGGTCTCCGGGCGCTCCGGAGCGCTCTTGCCCCTTGAGGTATGAGGTGTGGTAGAAGGAGACCTCCCGGAAGTGGCTGTTCACGTCGTTCAGCAGCATCTCGATCACTTGGACGAAGTTGGGGCGCAGCCGAGGGTTCCGCTCCCAGCACAGCGTCATGATCTGGTACCTGCGGGGCGCCGACGTGCGTCTCAACGTCGAGACCGGCGCTTGCCCTCCGCGACGGCAACGCGAGTTCTGCCGCGAGGCACGAAGAGCTATCGGAAATTAGCTCGAAGTTAGGCCTGCCGTATTCACACGAATGAGGGTCGACCCATTTTTCAATTCGTAATATCTGAAGTGGGGCCATCGACTTATAATCGAACCAAAACATTTCATCGTCGACAAAAACGAAACAATGGCGATATAAGAATACCTCGACTTTTTACACGTTCAGCAAGCTGTACCTGTAGCAATGCCCAATTTAAGGGCGCTTATTTGACGAATTCTATTTTTAGTATTATTTGCACGAACGAGTATTATTGATAGCAATTTGAAAATTGGCCCGAAAGTACAGCGCTGAACAATGCATGGTGCGCCGGACTGCCGGGGGTGGCAGGACTTCTTGTAAGAGCCATTCTAGAATGGCCTCTGGAACAGCCTCACTCCCCGCTGCATCTTTCTGCGGTTTTTGCACGATTCACGGTCGCACGTCGTTCAATCGAGTGTCAAAATCATGCTGGAGTGCCAACTATGTTTCTCTGCATGGACATGCGTGATCCGGTCAGTTTAGGTTTTCGGCGCTCGTTTATGGCCATTCTTCCCCCAGAAGCAACAAACAACTGCGCTGCTGGATGCAAGTTCAACTTGTCGGAGCGGGTGGTGCCCGCAAAAGCATAAATGTCGGAGACCTCTTTTAGGCCCATTAACTTCCCGTTGCCCAAACCTATACAACAAACTGCGGCTCTACTTCGAAATTGCGAGACAAATATTGGTACAACTAACTAATACTAGTTACGAAAAAACAGAAAAGCCTCTTCAATACGTGGCAGCCAACCCTCGAGCACGACCAGAGCACACAACTGGTACAGGGACCGGAGAGTGGCCTCAGAGGGAATTGAAGGGAGGAGCCACTTACAGCTTCTCCGGGCAGTTCTCTGGCTTCTCCATGATGCCGCCGCTGATGACATACTTGAGCACCTGCTCATTGGAGAGCCCCTGGTAGGGCTGAGATGCCAGGGTGGCCATCTCCCACAGCACCACTCCATAGGACCTGCGAGGGGCACGGGCGTCGTCGGACAAAGAAGCGAACAGACGCTGCGAAAGAATGAGGTCTCTGCCCCTTGGCCGTGCACAAGCACGTGGCAGACGGCAGAAAAAACGCAACCGCACGATGTGAAGACCGGGTTAACATTAACGGATTTTGTCGGCGGTTCCGTCGGCGGACCCTCGGCGACGCTGCAGAGAGCCAGCGGGTTCTCAGGTACCTATTTCGCCGAGTACGGCCGCGGCAATAATACGCTTTTTCGAGCAACGAGTGCACCGTCAATCGGCACGGCACCGGCTACTGCCCCGTTGTCCGACGGCAACTCGGCATTCAGGGACACTGTCAGACGTCACAATCCCGGCGACGGGCCGTACAAGTTCCAACGAAAGGCAGGAAAGGACGCGGGCATCGTCGTCGCCGCGACGCGTCCCAACTCCCGGGTGTCGAACACTTCCGTCAACCGCTCCGGCTGCCCGGAGTGACCGACACGGGCATCCGCTGCCAGGTTGTTGCGAAGGCGCGGATCGCACCAGTCCAATCCGCGCCCCGCGTCCGTCTCTGGGTGACATCGAAGGTTCGGCCCTCCGGCATCGTCGCCTAGAACGGGGGTTCTCCAACTTCGCGATTTCGAGAAACCCCCGTCTACCTCGACCAGCGGCAGAGTGCCCCTTCCCCATCCCCATCCCAACGCCGGCGGAATGGTACATGAGCCGACGAAGCTTGCCGACGAAGCTTGCCAAGAATATTGCACCTATTACGGGAGCGTATGGCTTACACTAGGTTTGTTCTATTTACCTGCACCGGTCCATAAAAGTGTAGGGCAGCGTATGTCTGGTACGTGTATCGAGATACGACCGAAACTAAAACCGTCCCACACTTTTCTGTGCTGGTGTGGTAAATGAGGGTAAATCGAATAAAGTTAGTTAGACATTGGCGAGTGGCTCGAATCTGCCAGGATAGCGCCCAAATCGGAAGAACACTTCGCTTAGAGGGACTACCAAGAGATATTGGGAGCCCACAAGGATGGGAAGCCCAGTGCAAGAACCCCTGAGCCAGATGGGTGTTCTCACCAGACGTCCGAGTGGCTGGTGAAGATGCCGTCCTTGAGGGACTCCGGAGCCATCCACCGCACGGGCAGCAGGCCCTTGCCCCCCTTGCGGTAGTAGTCCGTCTCGTAGATGTCCCGCGTCATGCCGAAGTCCCCGATCTTGACCGTCAGGTCCTCGGCCACCATGCAGTTGCGAGCCGCCAGGTCCCTGTGCACGAACTTGCTGGCCGTCAGGTAGGCCATGCCGTCCGCAATCTCTGCCGCCATCTGCAGGATCTGCTTCAGGCTGGGCGGCTGGCCCCGGGGCTTCGAGTCGTCCTCTTCCCCCTGCGTCAAGGTGTCTCTTGATGTCCCGCATCCCTAGGGCGGCGGCGAAGGTGTTGCGCAGCGCTCGTACGACACCCTCGGAGCGACAGAAATTGGCGTTTGAAATTTTCTAGCATTCAAATTGTTTCCAACTTATTTTCAATCTCACATCGTTCAGGCGGCATTCGAGGGTGTCATACGAGAATCCTCAGTGCGGGGGATATAGACGTTTTAACATTTTAACTAGGCACCTGCGAATGGAGGATTTTGAGTTCGAAACGTACAGTAGTTTGGGCCGAATATCTTATGTTTATTTATATATTTATGAACTCTGTCGCGTAAACAACAAATCTGTCGCAGCTACCCTAATCGAAGGGATTTATAAATCTGCTTACTGTATGAAAATATTATCTCATCCACTTCAATTTTGACAAAAGAAGGCAAGTGCAAATGATGAACGTGAGCTGGCAAGACATCGCTGCCTAACATGCACTCGCGTAATCGCAGCGAGTTAGCCCATTTGAAGGTGCTTCTCACCGAGCGCCTGTGCACTGCAGAGAAGTATTAATCACAAAGCCGAGGAGCTCCGCGGGTATTGCTTTCCCGCAACACTCAGGTGTTCGGCGAGAAGTGCCCTCAGCGGGGCTAACCCGTTGTGATTGACACCTCGAAAAGTATGTATACTGCAGTTTATCTCGAAGTGAGTATCGAATAACATATCATTAGAAACCATTATTCGAAAAATCGAATGTCCGAACAATCCCAGTTTTAACTCGAATTTTTTTTAGAATTTAGGTTGTTTCTGACTAATTTGTAATCTCACTGCTTTTGCAAATTACTAAAGAATTAGCTGTTTATGAGCGCAGCAAATAAGCAAATGAACGGATGTGCGAGGCTGGTTCAGAGGTTTGCACTTGAGCGTGACTGACTGCACTGCAACAACATGCAACTGGCTACATCGAGAGGGTTGCTACAGCAACCAATATCCGCATGGCATGTCCCAGTGAAACTCGAGAAGTCGTAACGCAGTCGGCCATGCTCACGTGTAAATGTCCAAACTGGCCTTCCAGATCACAAAGTTAAACATAAATGTTATCAGAGTTTACTTTTGGCTGCATTCCAGAGGACTGGTTTCAGAATCCATTCTTTATCGCAAAGTAAACATTTACTCCATTTCATTTCTGTTAAATTTTTAGAACCTCCAAAATTCAGCTCTTATCAGGTTAATTTCTGTCACATTCCATTTTCTTCATTACCATTCAAAAAAAACATTTCTTTGCGTTACATCTCAAATTCTCTCAAATTCAGTGTTTCTCCGTCACGTTTATAATTCTCCATATTAATAAAAAAAAAGAAAATATTTACTCACAAACAAATATAAAAGCATGGAAAGTCATTTTCACTGCGAGAGAGGTTTGCCGGAAATCTCTGGAATCACAGAGAACATGCAACCTTCTCCCCGTAAAAAAGGTACAGCCTAGACTGATTTCCGTTGGGACTTGAAAATTAAAACCCGACAGGACGTCACAGATAAGAAGGGCACAGACCTCGGTGGGAGGCCTGTGAGAGCGCAGGTAGCTCTTGAGGTCCCCGTTTGACATGAGCTCCATGATCACATACACGGGCTGGTCCTTTGACACGACGCCAAGCAGCTTCACAACGTGTTGGCAGCTAAATGCCCTGCAAGACGAAAACACAACACCCTTCAGCATTGCTCTCACAAAGGCCGCCGCGTCTTTCTTTTCTAATGCTGCTTGCGTTCGATCCGCCGAGAAAAACCCGACTTACCTTCGCTTTACGGATAAACGAGGAACAAGCGGAATTTGTCGGTTTGGCTCACTTTATTGCCCTCCCGCAGCGACGCCAAATCGCACGACATGGTCGTACGATGCGGTAGAGCGATTACCCGCACGCTTCTCACCTTTGACGCAGCAAAGTAACCGTCGCTTTGCAAGTCCCCCCTTCGCACGGTGCTGGAGCTTCAAGCTCGGAATCTTGGGGTCTAGAGTTTGATTCTTGTAATGCGACGTTTTAAATTTAGTTTTTCTTTTCAACTTATTGCAATTTCTTACAAATCGTGCATTCTCCTGCTTTTCCTGTAGTCTGCGTCACACATTTTATGACTGCTTCTCGCAGCGTTCCGTCACAACCCAAGATCACCAGAAGATTGATAAGAAAAGTGTGCAACCGAATTGCACGAAATTCCAATGTCTCGCGAAATTGGTCTATTACACCGATACTTCTTCGCACCAATATTGCTTTAGTTCATAAATTTGATGACCCAGTGTAGTTTTTCTTAGAGAAAACTTCACTGAAGCGAAGCGGCTTCCGAGAAGTTTGTTGCAGAGATAATTTTTATGTGCATCTTTTATGTGTGCCTGACAGGGAACTCAGAATGCTCTAATGTTGCAGATATTTAGTGGAAGCAGTATTCACTCTAGAGGGATTCAACTCTAATGAAGAGTAGGCTCGCTTAACAGCTACTGTCCCATTTCGCGTATATTTTTGGTACAAAGCAACTATAATAAAGCTGCATTTTTGTTCATTACTCCAGCCCAGTGGTTCTCAAATGGGGGTCTAGAAACACTTCGGGGTTCACAAAGGCATTCTAAGGGTTCACAAAACCCTGCCTCATCAATCAAACCCAACGTTAGAAGCAATTTTTTTAATTGATAAGATGTGTTTGGTTTTTTGGTGTGAGTGTCAATGGGAAAAGTATGCTTCACACTAGCCCTTAGTTATATCCATTTATTTAGGCATGGGCGAATAGACGATTTTGGGTCCAAATCGAATTCGAAGCGAATAGTGACTTTGGCCAAATAATTTCAAATCGAATAGTACAAGCAACAAATACCACAAGATATGTTTAAACTATAGTTTTATATTTACTCTTATTCGGTATTAGAAGCACTGCAATTGTTATTTTCAAGTGTACTGGGTTCTTGCGCTGCAGAACCCAGGGATCCCGGATTCAATTCCCACCCCTGCTCGTTTCGATCTGGATGAGCATCGTACCGGCGTGCGGTCGTGTATCACTACCGCGTGGTTAACGTTAACTCTTTCCCTACCATGGTCGACCTGGGTTCTTCCACACTGTTTGTACTGCTGCCCCCCAAAAGAGCTGGGCTCGTCCACATTGACTCGGGCTCCGACACGCAACCATGGATGAACTGGGCTAGTCCACGCGTTTCTAGTTAGCTTTGCCGTGGATAGGTGGCGCTTCACAGAAAATAAAAATGTGGTAGTTCACTGAATTTGGCAGACAATTGTTCCAACGCAGGCAACAGGGGATTTAAAAATGGCGGCGTGAACTTCTGGTCGCTGCGTTCGTAGTGACGATCTTCCCTCAAACTTGTGGCAAAATGAAGATATTGTGACGCCTCTTCAGAATCAGAAGACAAGGAAATTAATATTTCATTGGACGGCGAGAGCGATGCAACTGAGCTATTGAATTTTAGCTCGGACGACTCTGATTCCGATAAAGACATTGGGTCAGCGTGTCGGCACTGGACTAAATCATCATAGAAAATTCCCCTCCAGCCCCTCCACGTTTTGCGTTCACTACTACGCCTGGCATGAACGTCAATGTGCAAAATGATGTGCACTGTCTGTGGTAGTGCTACGCCCGGCCTGAACGTTGATGTGGAAGGTGATATGAACTGTCTGCGGTAATGCAGTGAAGCCAAACTTTAGTCCCCTTTTGTTTTGCAGTGCGTTCAAAGATTTCTCATATAATAAAATTTTTGGCCTTTGTTTTGCATATTAAATTTATAGGGCACATAAAAAAAAATTGGTATTTTCAAATAATTTTTTTTATTCAAAATTTTGGCGGTAGGCAAAGGGTTAAAGAACCCAGGCTAGCGGTTGTACTGCACTGTCTAAATTGCTCATCTACAGCGCGTGACTCGTCGCAACTTTGAAATGGCTGACCAACTTTAGTTGGTCAGCCATTTTAAATTTGCCGTTAGCCTTAGACCCCCTTTGCAAAACATGTATCTGCAGACACACACACACACAAGAAAAAAAAAATCTACACGCTGTATAATTATTTACACAACCCCAATTATTATTATATAAGTGTACCAAATCGGGAGCATGAAATGGTCGAAAGCTTGCTCCACCCTGCAGGAAATCCAAGCCAGAGTATTCGGAAAAGTCGAATAATTCAATTATGCCGAATACTTAAATTCGATTCGAAGCGAATACGGAATAGAACAGAATTTGATGGGCTATTCGTAATAACCAAATATTCGCCCATCCCTACATTTATTAAACCATTATCATAATTAACCTATACCTCTCACTATCCTCACCCCGAACGGGGTCCTCCACCATCCCCGCAGACCCACAGGGGTCCGCGAAACCAATAGTTGAGAACCGCTGCTCCGGCCAATACGCGCACACATTAGCACCCGCGCACGTGGTATGTATTGCTACCGCACGAGGCACATAAATGTGCACTTCCTTCAAATGCAAAGTTGTGGGTAATTGTAGATGTCGCGACTCACTTCATCACAGCTGCCTCCTGCAGGAACTCAATTCGCTCACGCATGGAGGCACTCTCGTTCACCGTCTGCAAGCAGAATACCACGAATCTGGTTACTCCCGGATACGTCCGGTGATCACAAACAAGTCGCAACAAACCTACGTCCCAACCGGGTTCCCAGGAATTCCCAGGGCCCCCAGTTTTCCTAAGCGATCACTGCCCCTAAGTGAAGTACTCTCCCAGTTTCAAGACAATTGGAGAACATCCGAGCCACACATTGATGCAATACCATGTTCAAAATGTGTGCATCACTATTTACAAGGTCATTATGCTTCTGCGCCACTTCACTGCATTGTTGCCAACGCCAGGAAAGGTTCCTTGGCCATCAAATTAAAAAGGAAGGCCATTCCCCGAGATGAAAAGGTTTGAGGGCCCCTGCCGTAAACAACAGTTCACATATGATAAAACCTCGTTGATACAACTTTCAGGGGACCGGGGAAATAAAACGTACGATCTGTGGAAAACACAAGGAACGAGAACGGGATTCGAGAGGCACCGGAGACGAGACAGATAGCAACTGTAACGAAACTACTTTACGCAAACATTCGTAGATGTGAACTTAAACTGGCTCAGAAAAGGTTTGTAAACATTCATAGGTGGTAAGAGTTTGTAGGTGCCATCTCAAGTACGGCCAGAAAAAGGTTGCCTATGGTCGTCCAAGCGAGCTCAAACAGGTCCATGAAAAGCTCGTGACCTCCCCCTGGCGCTTCAGGTGACTGAAACAGGGAGAAGCGGCCAAATTCTCCCTCGACCATCCTCGAGCAGGACCGCACTTGCATTATGCCTCGGGTCAGAGACGCTAGTGGTTCTTCGCACTAAGCCTCTTTATTCTTTATTCTTTATTCAATGATTACCCCGCAGTGCCCGAGGGCGTTACAGCAGGGGGGGTTACAAGGATGAAAAGAACACGTCTTCATTGAAACAGCACACTTGCTCTTCAGACAGCCGATTCCACTGTGCAATTGTTCGTACAAAAAAGGAGTTTGCAAACATGCATGTCCTAGCGCGGTACTCTCTAATTTTAAGACTATGATCATTACGACTAGAAACATAATAGGGTTCTTTTAAGTAAGTCTCGCTATTTATTCCCGTTTTATTTTTAACTATTGAGTATAAAAATTTTAGTCGCAGTTTTTCCCGACGTACGGAAAGTGGTTCCCAGTTTAACATTTTTTTCATTTCTGTACAACTTTCTTTCCTCCCGTATCGTCCAAGAACAAACCTAGCCGCCCTGTTTTGTATTTTCTCCAGCTTATCTATCAACGTTTTTTGGGCTGGATCCCAGACAGCACATGCATACTCTAAAATGGGTCTAACACATGTTAAATAAGCAGTTGTCTTTAAGTTAGGTTGTGAGCATTTTAAGTTACGTTGGATAAAATTCATTGCCCTGCCAGCTTTTAAGACTACTTCCTCTATGTGGGCATTCCATGAACAGTCAGATGACAATATGACACCCAAGTATTTGTAAGTAAGTTCCTTGGTTATAGGGTTATTATTTATAAAATACTGAGATTCAATTTGTTTCCTTTTCTTTGTAAAACAAAGGTTAACACACTTTTTGTGATTTAAATTCATTTTCCACGTAGAGCACCAACTTTGAATACGATCAAGGTCTGCTTGCAACTGGGCGACATCATCTGAACTCTTAATCTTTCTATACACTACACAATCATCAGCAAAAAGTCGAATACAAGAGGAAATTCCAACAGAAATATCATTAATATAAATTAAAAACAAAAGTGGACCCAGGACAGAGCCCTGTGGAACTCCTGATGTTACATCAACGTAATCAGATTTCTTGCCATTCAGTACTACACATTGACGACGCTGGAACAAGTAATTTTCTATCCATCTAAGCACAGCCGAGTCTAGATTTAACATTCTTAGTTTGTTGAGAAGAAGTGAGTGTGAGACCGTGTCAAACGCTTTTCTAAAATCCAAGAATATACAATCTATTTGCCCTCCCTCATCAACATCAGATGCAAGGTCATGATAAAATTCAACAAGTTGCGTAGTACATGAAAACCCCTTACGAAAACCATGTTGTTCATTAATCAGCAAGTTGTTTCTTATCATATGACCGATTACCTCTGAATATAAAATATGTTCGATGACTTTGCATGAGACGGAAGTTAATGAAATGGGTCTATAATTTACGACGTCTTTTTTTGGCCCCCCCTTATGGATAGGGACGACATGAGCTACCTTCCAGTCATCTGGCAAAAGTCCTGTGTCCAGTGACTTGGAAAAAATTAAATAAAGGTAAACCGAAATTGGGTAAGCACATCGCTTTAGTACACGCGGAGAAATGCCATCCGGTCCAGTTGCTTTTGTTTCATCTATGTTCTTTAACGCCTTCTCAATACCACTCATGCCAAGCTCAACTGGCTGCATTAATTCCACCGTACTAACAGTGGATGGATTAACATAGTTGTGTTTGGGCAAAAAGACAGACTGAAAGTAATTATTGAAGCACGTTGCTTTTTCTGTATCATCCGAAACTGTCTGTTGATTATATGTAATTTCACTTATTCCTACTGCATCCGATCCACATCCCTTTAAATACTTCCAGAAAAGCTTGGGGTTGGTTTTTAATCTGTCATTGAGTGTATTAAGATATTGTTCCTTAGCACCCTTTATGCTCCTTTTATATTCACGCGTAAGCTCAGCCAGTTTTTCAAGGTGATTACTACTTTTGGTCTTCTTATATCTATCAAATGCTCTCCTTCGCTTTTTAATTATCCTAAGAGTACTTGAAGTTACCCATGGTTTTCTTCGTTTTTTTAGCTTTCTAGAATCTATGCAGGGAACATATTTATCCGTTAATTGAAGCAACATTTTCTTGAAAACATCCCATAAATTATGGACATCATATTCCTCAGAAAGACACTCAAATACGGGAAGGCGGTCAAGAAGCTCTTCAGAAAACCCAGAGTAATTGCCCTTCTCAAAGAAAAAGACTTTCCTCGATTCGCATGAATTTACTCGTTTGATTTCAGTTTGGATATTTGCCACAACAGCGTGATGGTCACTGATACCAGGGATAATATTAACGGTGTTAATAAGATAGGGAGAGCTACAAAACAAGAGGTCTAAAATGTGATTATTCCTTGTTGGTTCACTCACATACTGCTGAAGCCCAAACGTATCCACAATGTTTTTCATTTCAAGATTATTTCGGCTACCAATCGTGCATACACAAGTGCCATCCCTCCACTCTAAGTCAGGCAAATTAAAGTCTCCCGCAAGGAGAATAATTTGGTTTGAGGCCTCAGAAACAATGTCGTATAACGATCGGATTATACTAAGATCCGAATTCGGTGGTCGGTAATACGATCCAAGAACATAGGAAGAGCTACCAGGTAACGTGACTGTACACCAGATTGATTCAATAGCGTCATGACCAAGTTCGAGTGGGGATGATCTTAGCGATGAATGAACCAACAAGAAAACGCCTCCGCCGAGGCGTGACCTATCTTTTCGATAAGAAACAAACCCTTTCGGAAAGACTTCGCTATCACTTATGGAAGCGTCTAGCCATGATTCGGTTCCGAACACGATATCAGCCTTAACTGAGTCGATTAAGCCTGCCAATTCGTCAACTTTATTTACGATGCTTCTACAGTTTATTACAACAGCAACTAGGTCACGATGAACGCGCTTTTCTTTTTTTCCTTTTTTCGTGGGGCGTCAGTCTTTTTTGACAGGAACAACTTGTTCGATTTCCGTATCCCATGTAAACACTTTATCATTTACGATGAGCTTATCAAAGTTTAGCTTTACACGGTTGCCACTATCCGCTTTTTTTGTTTTAGCATATTCCCAAAGTTTCTTTCGAATTTCACGGGTTTTCGGCGAGTAATCTTGGTCTACACTGTAGTTTGATCCCTTGAACTTTTTGGCGTTAGACAGAATATCCTGTTTTTCCTTGTAGGAGGCAAAATTAACGATGATTGGTCGTTTAAAGTTCTCACTGTGTTCTGCCTCACGCGGCATACAGCAGCAACACACGGTTCTTTTTCGTATGAATGCGATGGCGCCGTGACCGTAGCAACAGACGTCGCATTAGCTCTTGGACGAGCATGCCACTATGCAGTCGTTAAGTGGTTTGATTGACCTTCACTGTTCCTCGCGTGAAAGCGTTTGGGAGGCAGACAATCTGCGGACGTGTCTTCATGCGATCGATCCGTCCGTAAATCAGTTCTAAACTTAAAAGCCACGAAAACTAAAAAACCGGAAACATATCAACGAAGTTCTGCCATACACTAGCAGGCGATTGGCTTGTAAATACGCACCGATGGATGGCTCGGGTCTTCTAAAATAGTGCTTAAAAAGGAAAAATGCTTCACATGTGGGCAGAGACGGCCGAGGAAATCAGGGCACTTGAGAGTGGCCTGGGGGAGCACCCTAGGGTTCCTAGGAACCCGGTTTTAGAACCCCCTGGGCTAGACCAACAAGAAATACACCAAGCCGGTCTTCGGGGGCCCACCTTGACGGCGCATTTGGTCTCCGGCTTGTCCGGCTTGAGGTTGTAGATGAGCCCCTCGTAGACCATGCCGAAGGAGCCCTGGCCCAGGGCCTTGACCAAGTTGATGGACTCCCGGGGAACCTCCCATTCGTCCGGCTCGTACACTGCGCCACCAGATGGAGTTCAATGCCACGAGCGCTTTCGACGAGGCGACTGTCGCCTTACGCGTTTGTCGTGACGAAGCAAACCCCATTAAAGAATCCAGCCTTCTCGTGCAGTAGCACCCCCCACCCCCTTTCTTTTCCGTCGCAAGTTTGCAGAACGCTGGATAAACGTAGTAGTCGCTGACACACACAACCTGGACCCCTGGTTTTATTGCCTGTTTCCCGGCAGGATTTCTAAATGCCAGCCACCAACACTAACAAAAGGTGTTTGTGCCAGCCTGTGCCTACGGTGACCAACGGTTTAAGAAACACGCGGTGTGGCTCTTTACGCTTCTCGCATCGTGATACTGCGTTCTTACCGAGCAATGCCGAAATCTCGTTGTCTGCAGAATGATATTACAACAGTCGTGACTCGCCAGGCCCGTGTTTCTTAAGGTGTCGCAGACCAAGGTGGCAATCTGTTTCAGTCACCTAGCTCCGACACTTTCCTTGAATATCGGCGAGACACCTCCACATTTGCTAGACCTGCTTTTGAAGCTTATTCAAATTCTGGCATAACACTGCCCCTTCTCATGCTGCGCTTTAAGAAAAGATTTGTGGCCACGATTTCTCAACGTTAATTATAAACATGCAACCACTTGGAACGACGACCAAGAGAGGGCAGTGCAAGCGTAGACATAGCCGACGCGGGTCGCACAGCGGTAAATCTTTGGGAAACCTTTATTATCTTCCTGAGAGTCTACTGATTTTGAAAACGGTGCCTACTGATAACTAATCTACTGAATAGGCCTGTTGCTAAATTACCCAAGCATCAAGGAGAATGCAGGGAATGGTGTTCCACGTACCACACGTGCCGGCGTCTGCAACAGTAACTGTTCTAAAGCAAAAGCCTAAAAGAAACGGCATCTTGCACGCGCGTTCGTCAACGTTTATTACCTTGAATCTTTATATTGCCTTGTTATTTACCTTGAACCTTTTATATGAGGAAGGCATGCGCGTGCGGCGCATGCAGCGGTGCGAGCGTAGTTTTTGGCCACACACACGAAAAACCCACGGAACCCTAGCCATAAACAGCTTCATTGTAAAAAGAACAGAGACATAGCTTAATTAAGCTTGGTAAACCTCGATAAACCTTAGGGAAATAATGGCCTGACGTGGCATAAAAGCTAGCAGCACCAAATGCAAACCTACGTCACCATCATATGTGGTAGGCAGGTGAATCCAATGCTATCTTTTGCTGGAGGCCAGCCAGGGGGCCAATACACATAAAAAAAAATAAAGCTCACACCCAAGAGAGGTCAGACAAGAACATTCCGCACACTTTCTCTCCACAAACAGGAAAATCCGTCGGTGCGGGCACGCATACACTAATGGTACACGCAGCACAGCGCTTGGCACAATAAAACAACTTGCAAATCTCAAGCAGCAGTCACGTAGGAAAAATCCCAACTTGACGCAGCCCAGTTACACCCGTTTCACGAAGCACCGTTCCACTTCCGGCAAGTCGTCCGTGACCGTGCTGGTGATTTCTTTCCACCATTCTCCCCTCACCCAATTGTTTGCACCTGAGCAGCTTGTCGTTGGCGTCGGCACTGCCATATTTTGGAAGCATCGTATAGATGGTTGCGCCGCTGACGGAACGCAGCAAGCACCTGAGCCGACAAAGAACAGGCACTCACCCGAGCTGACATACTCCGGGTTGAAGGAAGCGTACAAGATGCCGCCGGGCACTTCGGGATTCCTCCTGCAAGAAAAGTCGCCTCAGTACCGGCCAATCGCGCGGGTCCCACCGACGTGACTCACTTCTTTCTCTGGTAGAGGACGCAGGTGATGGCGAGGAAGGCGAGCACCATCACCACCACCACCAGGCAGATGGCAATCACCGTGCCCTGCGTGATGCCCTCTGCAGGGGCGCGGCAAGGAGACGGTTATCGAAAAGAGGAATTACGGTACAATGCTAATGCATGTGTTGTCGGGCAGAGGGGTGGTTTACGTTTCATCTTGAGAGCTCTCACGGTCTCCCCATTTAGTTCACCTTCTATCTCAATCTCACGGCCACCTTAAAAAGATTGCTCTCCCTTTCTTTCCGAGCCTCTCCCGAACAATGCACGTTGTGTCAAAACTTCTGATTCATTTTAGTGTTCTGTTCCAGCATTATGCGTGGGCGACATTCACTTCGTCATCGTCGCCAAATTATTCATCACTATCACTTCGTTATCACACATTTTCTTTTGTTTGTTCTTTGAAGTGGCAAGAATTCTCGCTCGGGACGTTGGCTTAGAACGGGCATTCTTCCACGGCGTCACCAGGGGCACCACAATTGGTCATTCCATAATTGAGCCTACATTTCCAGCAGCATTGCACGGGATGTACGTGGCACAGTTGATACGAATTCGAAGTTCAGTTATACAGGTCAGTGCCAAATGCAAACAATAAATTTCATAGCCTAATTGGTGCTGCACATCTATCACGAGCAAAGTGCCCAACAAAAACAGAACTGAGCTGTCAACTTTCCTGGACCAAAATCTGAACCGTCGCTCGACGATCGCAACACCTTTCCAACTCCATCTTAGAAGTCACCCGAATGTGATATGGTTACTTTGCATGCGTAATAACAACTACACACACTCGTAGCACTGCGACCGAATTCCTTTCCAAGACTCCGGGAGTAACAAGAAGGGGATGCTTGCCAGAGCGCTCGTGGATGACGAAGTAAACGGGGCGCGTCCAGTTGCCCGGCCCTGCCAGGGAGGAGGCCATGACACGGAAGGAGTAGTTCCCCGGGGCCAGCCCGTGGATCACCCGCCCGCCGTGCCGGAAGAACTCGTGGTGCGACACGCAAAACTGGAACGGCTTGAACTGCGCATGCAGAGCACGCAAGGAATGCCTCAGACACCCGCATCTCCCGCTAAAACGACCGTGGACTGTACGCAGCATACAAACTACAGTCGCCAACCGATTTGTCGGATTTCGCAAAGTTTGAAGAAAAAAATCAGAATATTAGAGGAGTTCGAGAAATCAGCAGATTAAACAAACTTGCTTTAAGTCTAAGCAGGCTTAAAAAAGCTGTCAATAGTGTGTCACTTCGGGTTACGCCTCAGCTTGCGTTCGGACATTTTCTATTAGCTTGTGAATCGCTGAATCAATTTCTAGCGTTACGGTCAAGTACTCTCCGTGCTTCTTAGCGACACTTTGCGGCGGCGGAAGAACAGATGGGGCCGCGACGTCCAAGCCGGCGTAGTCCGAAAGCACAGTTCATTGAGATGAGATGAGAGGTGCAAGTCCATGACTGCAGAATGGCGAATCAACAAAGCAAGATGGTAACAATGACAAAGACGCGCAGCTGGAGAAAAAAAAAAGCCACAACATAGCGTACCTAGTGGTAGGACCCAGTAGTACTCAAGTAGCGCTGCCAAATCAGGCCAATCCACGTGCAGCCAACACAGAATCTATAATGGCGCCTTCTCGGCGACGTTTCGTGTCGATCACTCGTGACGACTCTGTCCGAAAAATCCAACTTTCGGACTTGGAGCCGTCCGAAACGTCGGTTGTGAGTACGCACCATCTCTATCGCGTGGGTCACAGTTCCTTCTTTAGGTCCAAAATGTCAAAAAGTCTGAATTATCGGCGTCCGAAGAATCGGTCGACGAGCATACGCGCAAGACTCTGTCATTTCTTGAGCCAGGGACCCACCTTCTCCTGGGAGACCATCTTGTATTCGACCTGGTAGGAGACGATGAAGCCGTTGGGATCCGGGGGCGGGGCCCACTTGACCAGCAGCCCCGCCCCCACGCTGTCCGACACCGTCGTGTTCTCGTACTGCACCAGCACCGTCGAGCTATCAATGTCGTCCGCATCCGCTACAAGGGAAAAGAAAAACGTCCTCCACCGCATCCAACGAGGCCCGATGCGCAGGAACCCCTCAAGTAGAACGCCGGAATCCAACGCCAAAATCCGACAGTTTTTCAAAACAAAACACAAAAACAAGCGTGCAAATGCACTGTGCGTTGAAAGAAGGCGTCACTAGAGGTCAGGGGGCAATGACCCGCGAAGCGAGTGGTTCAAAGCGACGCGCAGAGTCGATCGCACTCACCGAGCGGCAGGGTGCGTATCCGCGTGATGGACTCTACGCTGCAGCACATGGCGGACCCGTTGAAGACAGCGTCTGTGTCGCAATCCGACGGGTCCCCCCTGTAGTACTTGCTCTTGAGCTTCTGGTGGCAGGCCAGCACCTGCATCCCGGCACAGTGCACACTGAGTGTGGCCGTTCCCGCACAGGAGTGGCGTCGGGCGCCGCCCTGCCCGCATCGAGCATCGCGCTATGAGGCGACGACGCCGACGCGTGCTTTCGGCGGGTGCGGGCACGGCGGCAACGACTTCGTGCTCCCACCACCCGGTTCGGAATCTTTTCGTCGCGCTGCGGGAAAGCTTTCTACGAGGACAGATTAAAGCGCCGGACGCACTGCCGACATTAGGGGGTTCAATTAATTGGATCGCTTGAAGAACACGACGAACGGACAAGGGTTTAGAGAAGTCAAGAGTCGTTTGATGCGTGCACCCTTTCATCAAACCCCACGGACCCTTTGGAAAGTCGGACAACTGAAAACGACACCTATACTCACGACCTAGAGGTTGTATAATATCAAAATAATCGAGACACCGTTAAAAGGGTGCTACATCTGCTTATAAAAGAAATTACGGCAAACAACTTCAAAATTTCTACATTTTTAAGCTTCTCACTTTTTCTCCCGCCTCATTTTACTCCTACGCGGATCGGCACCGCATGTGGTGACCAAATTTACTGGGATGGAAGCCGCCAAGGTTTCAAGACCGGCAAGTAGTTCATCTAAGGACCGCGGCATATTGTTTGTAAAAGCACAGATGTCTATTTCCCGTCCCAAGTTCACCGTCTCCTTTTATTCGCAAAGATGGGAATGAACCCCCGCTCACTCGTATGGAGTACTCGGTGAAGTGGTGCAGGCCTTCCTGCAGCATCTGCGTCTCGTTGGCGACCCAGCCACAGAAGTGGTGGTGCTCGCTACCGTTGCCGCTTGACGGCGAGGCGCAGGGGTCCTCCGTCAACAGCTGGTCCCCCCGGGGGGCCGGGGAGGAGGCGGGGGAAACCGCCACGGGGACGGGCCCCTCCGTGGCCACCAGCGCATTGCTGCTCGCCTCCCCGCTCTCCCGCTCCCGAAAGGACCGCCGCCGCCGGTGGTCGCCTCCTCCGGCACCCTTCTTGGGCCTGGATGGAGAGGGCGCTCCCTTAGCTGGGCGTGGGTTTACGCGGGGGATGCAATGGTCTGTTTTGGGTGAAGATAAGAAGGATAAGCTCCTTCTGTAAAGCCCTCCATGCTTTCCGCTTGAGCAGAGTGAACGCCGGAGAGGAGGAATCCAAGGATTGAGGCAAGTGCCTTGTGGTAAGAGAGATCCTCGCTTCTCTTAACCTGCAACAAACTATAGTCCATAGGCAGACGCAAGCTTACGTGCGTGGATATGCGTGCATGCACGAACACAGATTCGCACGTTCTGTTCACACATGGGTAGAAGCTTACACGGGGACATACGTGTATGCATTAATGCAAGTTTACAGACGGCGGTAGCTGTCCAGAGTTTTGTGTCGACATTTATCTGTCCATGGACATGAAAGTGGGGAAACTAGCACGTAACAGCTCCGCTATGAAAACACAAATACTTCCCCAGGCCGCAGAAAAGCAAGTAACTGAGCCGCAAGAGCCTCCTAGGCGACGCCTTGAATTCTACCAGTCGTAGCAACGGGTCGAAGCAGCAAGGGCACAGCATACCAATAGAAGTGGGCATTGGCAGGAATCGAGGTGTCCAAACTCGCGGCATCCAAAAATTGCTGTCAACCAGCCAGGTTACAGGCAAGTGAGCCCAAACAGCAGTCTCCCCTTGTTAACGCTGCCTCAGAACATGTCGATTTCTAAAGTAATCGCAGCACAGAAACAGCTGCTCCTTGCTATGCGAAGTGCGAAAGTTTGTCTGCTTTTTCTGCAGGGGTTGTAGTGATGCCAGAGATGCCAAGTTTTGATTGGCTCTGATTGAAGGATACTGTGCAGACCTCAAAGCAAGCTGCCCTGAGGTCTACCCACTATCAATCAATCAGAGCCAATCGGAGCTCGGCCTTTCGACATCACCACAACCCCACCAAAAGAAGCAGACAAACTTGCACCCCGCATAGTCAACGAGAGGGAGAGAACGGCACGGCACCTCTTCCCAACGCCTCCAACGCATGCCCGTCGGCCCCCGCAGTGCTCATACTGAATCCCCGTCAAAGGTTGCACCAGAGGCGAGACAACTCCTCCGTGCCGTTCTCATGACTACGGTGGCCGTAGCTGGGGCCGCGGTGCACGAACCCACCTCTTCTGGAAGACTATGTTGTGGACCTTGTCCTCGAAGCTCGACCGCTCCTCCGCTTCGTCCTCGGTCAGCTCCCGGTCCCGCTGTCCCGGGCACGGGGCACAGGTCGCCTCCGCCGGGGCGCCGTTCTTGGGCGTCGCTGGGGCCTTCGGCACCGGCCTGTCCGGAACCTCGGGCGTGGGACTCGAACCCTCCCGCCCTTCCGACTTCCCACGAATCCCGAGCGCCGCTGCGCGGGAGACACAAGGGAAACGCGGCCGTCAAGCGATCCGCACGAAAGTCTCCCGCCGGGACAGGGCAGGAAAGCCGGTACGAGTTGGCGGCAAAGGCCCCGATGTGCGGGAATATTTGAAACTTCCAATACGAATAAAATATTCGTAATATTCGGTTCACGTGAGATTCGAGACATTCCTATTTGGCACTCCACAAAGATTCGGCTCCAAAGATAAAAAAATTCCAAGCAACGTTTTCGCTTCTTTGCTAAGTCGACGCAACAATGGCACGATGTGGCTTGTCGATGGAACGCAATTTGCGTAGGCTTCCCAACTTTGTGGCCCTACGATGGCGCCACGTCGCGATAATAAGCAAAAAAAAAAAATTGCATTGAAAAAAAAAACAAGAAAGTGGGGAAGGAAAGCCGAGGCAGGAACAAGCATTGAGCAGCGAAAAAGAAGTCCCTTTTTGCTCTCTGTTACTTGCCGCCTGCATAGAGAACTGCTGCGCAGTGTGCATTCCTCGCATCTATTTATCCTATTCTGCGTTTCTCCTTGGTCGAGCATCCCCTCACCCTCCCCGCACTGCCGCCGGAGCTCTGCGGCTTCGCTCTTCTTGTCTGGAAGAGTGGCCGCAGTGGCGATACGAGAACACGCGACAATCTGGCGGTGCGCAGGCTTGCCGAGTAAGACGGTCTGCAGCTGTGTGCGCAGGCAAAACCGCACCGCCGTCCTGCGGCGTAATCGAGCAGTGGGCAGTCAGACAGAGCGGTGGCCGGCAAAGCCACTGCCGCCCACCGTGGGGAAAACCCTAGCACCCTAACACCAAATCTAAAGGTAAGGAAGTCGCACTTTCGAATCCCGCCGATCGGCAGTTGTGCCTGTTCCGTACTAAGCACCAAGATGGCAATGCCCACAACAATATCGGGGGAAAAGTGTGCCGATACTTCAAGCGTAGCTCATTTAGTGGCTCTAGTTTGGTCTGTCCCGACCTGTGAGACAGCCATCATCAATAATAAAAAAAAAAAATTTTAAGTTTCACTGCTTGGTTTAGTTGACAGCCGAGGGCTTTGGGGATCCCACAAAGGCTTTCGGGGAACCCCAATTTGAGAATGGCCCCACTTACGGTCCACGCAGTAGTCTCGGCTCTCCCCCAGGTAGTGGTGCAAGGGGGCGCTGGGCTGGGCGATGCCCACCACCCGGTAGAAGCGCACGTCCCCGTTGGGGTACTTGGGGGGCACCCAGCTGATCATCAGCTTCGAGTCCTTGGACGGCGTCACCTTCAGGTTCTGTGGCTGGCTCGGGGCTGCAAGGGACAGTCGCACGCTTTGCAATCCCCACACCACCTCGCATTTTGTCGGTCGCCAATGTCTAGGGTAACGTCCGTCATAATAATCAACAGTGTTTCTACTGTAAAGACAACATCTTTAGCGTATTGGAGTGGCGGTAATCGCGCAGTGTTGTAAGACGTAGTTTACAAAAAAAACTTTCAACCTTTCCACTTTGGTGAAGGAAGACCAACGAAGCTGTACTATGGTGGGGACGAAGTAATGGCCGGCCGCAAGTTGGTAAGCCAGAGTGGAAAGGCTCGAAAGGTTTCCGCCATCGCTCATAGATGGCAATAGCTGTCCAGTTTCGTGTCATCATTTATTTGCTGACGGACAAGGCAATGGGGAAACTAGCCCTTAACAGCTCCGCTGTAAAAGAGGAGTTCCTGAATTAGAGGGTGAGCTCTGGCAAAATTTTCAATGGCCGGCGATTTGCTTTAAAATTGGTCCGACACATCGATAGACCCAATTAAAACTATGGGTCAAAATATTTTTTTCGTTTCGCCAAGTCATTCCATTTTTAAGTTAGGTCATCACCCTTTTGTTATTTATTTTTTTCCAAAGTGAAAGGTTTCATTGGCAACGCAACGAATGAGGGGAAAGACGTAATCTCGAAAGTACAGCCTGTTCCCGACGAGTTGTTACGAGAATATCGACGGTGCAAAACGAACGCCAAAGAAACTCTCTCCAGCCGAACACGAAAAACGCACAACGTCCTGCGTCTTCTGGACAGCCCTGCACGACCTGCCGGTTTTGTAACACGCGACCTCACCCCACCGACAGGCACACGGAAATTCTAATGTCGATTTCGTCTCTGCCCTTATTCACAGTTTTTGCCTCTGAATTCGCATCCCGAATTTAGGGGCAACGAATCGCGTGCCGCGGAGAATGAAGCCCGGGTGTGTCTCCAAAGTGTAGTGAAAAAAACCGCCCAAAGCCCTCCTCGCTCCACAAAACACTCTGTCCGGGTCGACGTGTGCCACCGACCTGCGGGTAGCGTCTTGAAGTAGGTGATGTCGCTCTGGGCCCCCTGCTCGGCAGTAGGCAGGGTGTAGGCCTTGACGTACACTGCGTACTGGGTGAAGGGCTTCAGGTGGGCAATGATCTGCATGTTCACCCCGGGGTCTGCGTCGGCCGTCTTCCATCTGCAAACGCCCCGGAGAGGGTGGCAGACGGATGGGAATTCCCGCAGGGTTGCAAGATATGCGCGCAACATTTGTGGCCATATTTTAACCCCCCCCCCCCCCACAGCCACGAAAGAAAGATGCCAACGATGAAGCGTGTAACAGTCAATATGTTTGTAGTCCAAATGTAAATAAAATTAACTTTCCTGTAGCCGTGCTAAATGTCCCTGGAACGGCGGCAAAATGTGTGTGGTACGGAAAGACAAACACTGGAGTCAATTTTGTTAACAGAACCTGGACGATTACCATGTTTTCCAGACTGTACACGTTGAAGAGTTGAAATTTTAGGCGGTGCAGATTATCAACAAACTATACAAGGATTTTTTTTTTAATAGCGTTATTACGACAAGACGTCATGAATTCAATGACGGACAGCTTATGTCAATGATGATTTCTGCACGATAAAAGCTCCTTTCTGCGCTAATCGAGAAGGCATTTTTTCTTTAAGGTGTGCCGCGTGCGACAATTTCCTTGTGCGAACAATGCACCAGATGCAGACCGGGCGCGAACTGTGCATTGGAAAATCTTTGTTTCGGCCCAAATTTTACCCCGTTCACTCCACACCGAGAACTAAGTATAGTCCAGAAAATACGGTGAATCACTTTCGTAAAATCCAGGCAATTATTACTAGGTTTTGTTTTTACCATTTCAAGTTCTTAACTTCTAGCTGCCATCACAAGCTAGAAGCCCATCTTGCATCGAGAAAACAATCTACAACAAAACAAACGGCCGTCGGAAAAAACTACAGACAAATCCACAAGCCTACGTACACGTCTCCTTGGCAAGCGTCCCGCCCGTCAAACAGTGTCACATTCTGGAAAGGCCTGCAAACGAACGCGTGAAACACGAGGTCAGACCTAGGCGACACGGGGAAGAACGTTGTACCCCGGCGACCGTAGACTCACGCTTCGCGGTAGTAGACCACATAGCCCAGGAGAGACCTGCGGTCGTAGATCTGCTTCTCAAACTCAAGGGACCAGTTGACCACTGCAATCTTGTTGCCCACTTTCTGCAGGGTTGCGTTGATCCGGTGAACTTCACCTGCCCCCCAAAAGAAGGAGGGATTAGGATCCGCCGATTCTTCTTTTTTTCTTCAGAGTTTGCGCGCGGCTGTCTGTGCATTCGTACGTGTATATTTAGAATCGTTGCTGCATATGTGCGCTGCTTATACCCATGTTCGCACGTTCGAGTAACGCACTCCAGATATACCGTTTCAAATGACCCTGCTTCGAAAGCATGCACCTGGACTCAACGTTATTACGTGCACTCGGTCGTGGAGCTGCGCATAGATGCTAAACGCCGAAGATCAACCGAATGGTAACTCCGTTTGTCAATGAAATCAGGTAAGCATTTGGAATTTGTTTGGAACCTATATCATACATGCTAATCGGTAATAAAACTAAACCTTTATACATAGACCCCACGAAGAACCTGTCCGCAGTAAAATTAAATTGTTCGCAAAAAAACGTTGGTATTAGTACAATTCCGACATCGGTACCTCAAATACCCATGCGAGCATCACAAGCACGCTTCGACTTTAATTTGCCCCATTCATACCTTGCTCAAATCAGTCTTCACTTACAAGAGGTTCAACTGCATTATCAGGAGCCTAAAGCATTTCAAAAGCAGCCTGTCACCAGCAAGACAATCCCAGAGGGCTGCTGACTACAGTCCCTCCAAAGGCCGGTACACACATGTGCGCTCGAGCGAGAGCAAGAGGCCCGTACGGGTTTTCCCTTCCAAATACCGTAAAACTTCTAGTCCAGCCCGGGTCCAAAAGCGTTCCGAGCATTATTTGCAGAATGGTGCCGCCACATTTCAACTCCGTGCAATGCATCGCGGAGGAACTTGAGGAGTCGACATGCGGCCAATCGCACCTGAGCGTGGACATCTGACCGGCCGTAACACCGAGCGTAAGCGCGAGGCAACATTACAGTGTCAGAAACGCGTCCCCAACCGGTGCGTTTCCCACGTCCTCAAACGTCGTCCCTCGATTTCCACCTCGCGACGTTGCGGAGGCGTCGTCTTGATCCCGGCAGCGGCAAAAAGAGCGAACGCCCGCTCCGCCGCGGCACGCCCTCAAGTCGATGCCTCGTCGAGAGCCGATCCGACGGCTCCGAGGGCTACTCACAGGCGGCCCGGTCGCCGTTGGTGAGCGGGGAGACGTCCTGCTCGCTCCAGTTGGCCACCTTGGCGTGCTCGTGCAGCTCCTTGATGCGCGTCAGGCACAGCTTGGGGTTGATGTGGAAGAACACCTTGCCCTTGAGCAGGGTCAGGCTGCTGTTCTTGGGCCGGCTCGACCAGTCCCACAGCAGCTGCAGGTTCTGGTTGTCCAGCACAACCAGGGAGTAGCTGCAATGGGACGTCGGGGCAAGTCTTAGGCATTGGCGGCGGGTAAGTTAGTCACCCAATTTGTGAACTAAAGAAACATAATGCTGATCGTCGTGTCGCCGAATGCCGAAGCAAGCCCGGGTGCCACGAAACAAACTAGTACTTCTCAGAAGCTGAAAACATTATAAACTGGCAAAGCACATAGGGGTAAGAGCTTGTGGCTTCTTTGCAACCGTTTAAAACACTAGATGTACGGGGCAAGTTGTCGTACACACCACTAGCTCATCAAGCCGTGGCACGATTACCGCACACTCATCGTGCACGCCGTGGTCTTTCATGCACCGTAACTATGTGGTCATGTACAACTTTAAAAATTTAGGAGTGTGAGAACGCACGAGTCAGGGTTTTCAGGAAACCACAACTTCCAGACGTAACGCATACCGCAAGAATGCTCGGACCGCCGAGGATGCTGGGAATCCGTGGGCGAAGACCGTCAAACGAAAGAAAGGGGGGCTCACTGTAGTCGGTCCAGGGCCTTGCCGTGGATGACGCGCAGCCTCTTGAGAAAGTTGAGGGAGATGAGCTGGTTGGAGCGCGTCACCTTCAGGTAGTCGCGGATTTCTTCTATCATGTCCAGGTTTGCCTCCAGTTCCTTCATGATGTTGCCTGCACCACATTGACAAGCTCGTTCAGCACAGGCTCAAGTCCAGTATGATACTAGGATGGGGCAATCTTGAACTCAAAGAGGCACGAAAGAGGATTCTGTGATAGTTTGTTCTTGGTCAAAACTGGTTCTATGGGCCCTAAACATCCTAAAAATCTAAAAATTACGATCACGCGACGCTGATTTCCTTATTTAAAATGTGATGAAAGGTTGGGACACACACCTTTCAGAGCAGATTTTTCCGCTCAGAAAAAAGAGGGCATTCCGCAGCAGCGGTGTCAGCGCGGTGACGATGGGTGCTCGTCGGCCAATCGCAAGCCGCCTCTGAGCGCCCATCGTAACCGCGCTGACACCTCTGCTGGGAAATGCCCAGCCTTTCCTGAGCGGAAAAATCGGCTCAGAAAGCGTGTCCCGACTTTTCATCACCTTTTTTTATAGGAAAATCGGTATGTCGCGCGACTGTAATTTTAGGATTTCTAGGATGCTTAGGGCCCGTAGAGTTAGTTATGACCAAGAACAGACGATCGCAGAATACTCTTTAGGGCCCCTTTAAGAGAAAAACATGAAAGCACGCAGCACATTACCCAAGTAATGTACAAAGTACATTAACCAAGCTCAGCTTGGCAAGAAATATAGAGAGAAGCGGCAGTGAAACGAGGAATTCTGGCTCAGCAAAATTTATAAGGAAATAAAATTCTCTAGTCGACGTGATTTCATTTTCGAAAATTAGTGAGGTCTGGCAAGCATTCTTTTTCATAATCTAAACCCTGAAACTGTTTCCCAACCCGTGACGTTTCCCAATTTCGCTTCTTGCAATATTTCGTTGATTAGGGTTCTGTTGCAGAGCAGCTCCGGCAACATCGAGGGTGGCACTTACCTCGTTCGCGAGCGGCAACACTGGGAATGCTGCAGCGGCGCAATCGAGCAAGCCTAACTTTGTCGGTCAATGGCGGTACACGGGTGACTTTGCATGCCAATTCACTCTTTTCGCCAGCCACGCCAAACTCCAGCAGCATATCTCAGCTTTGACAATACACACGAGCTGTCCTCTGCCATCGAAAACTATATTACGCAAAAATTCATACTGCTAGTTCGCAGCACAAAGTTTGACCACTAATGTGCTAAGAAAATAATGAAACAGCTCAATCTAGAAGAAGGTGCACTTGTTGTACGAAGAAAAGGGGGGTTGCGCAAACATACAAAGAATCGAACGTCAATCGAACGCAGCTTGCCAGCGGATTCGATATGCAGTTAGTGCGTGTCTACTTACCCGAAATGTTTAGACAGTACCTAGAGGAATTCCAGGGAGAGTGTGGCATCCATCAGATTGTCGCAGGAAGTAACGAGAATGGGGAAAGCGTTGAACAACCTTACCTCCTCCTCGTATCTGGATCACGAGAGAGCCGTTGATGTACGTGCAGCCTTTGACCCTCTGCGCAGACGACACACTGTCCACGAGGAGGCTGGAGCAGACTGCAAACCACAGAAGCACGTCTGTTAGAACATCCTTCACTGGCATGCCACTACTGCATGCAAACCCCACTTTAAAGAGAAACTCAACTCTCCCCAAAAAAGTTTTTAAGAAAGAGCCCGAATGGGAAACAGCCAATGCAAAATAAACTTTTCTTGCCAAAAAAAAATCTTAGTTGCGACGCACGTTTTGAGTTAGGAGCACTTTCAAACTGGACTTCTGTTTCGGGTCACCGACCTCGAAAGAGGCGAGTTTCGGAATGGTTTCCGACTTTTTCTTTTCCCGGGTGAAGGTGATTTTGAAATAGAAAGCGTTTCAGAGTCGCCGGCAACTCAAAATGCATCTTGCAACGTAAATATTGCGCTAAAACCTTCTCTTCTCTTGGGGAAAGATAGTTTTTCGAAATACAAACCCCATCTGCGCACCTAAAAAAATGCTTTCTCCAAGTTCCACGTTCTTTTAATGCTGTTAGCCCACTTTAAAGGGTGCCCATCAGTGCCATCCTGGCAGCGACATGTTTCAGTGGCGCCCTTTCACGCATCCTACACCTACACCTACCTACCCCCCCCCCCCCCACCCCCCCCCACCCCCCCGTCGCGAATCGGGACGGTCGGCAGCCAACAACGAGTTTGTCGGCGAGAGTAAAAAAAAATGTGGCAGAGGATCGGAGTCTTTGCGTCGTCGGACCGACACCATCAAGGCGGACAGCCCGCTGTGCTTTCACTTTTGTCAATGAGAGTCAACCGCCCTAAAGACGTCATAGTGATAATAAAAAGGAATGGTGCAAATGAGACCAGGGGCCCCATGCTACACGGCAGGACCAAGCGGAACCAAGGCACTGAGACAACGTCGTCTGCTGCAATTGGTCCACGTTGTGCCGCCGACCAATTGCAGCAGACGGCGTTGTCCCGATCCCTTGGTCTCGCTTGGTCCCGCCGTGTAGCGTGGAGCCCAAGGACAACCGAGGAGGCAGGCGCAGAGAAACAAACGAGGGTGCCTAACATGCCTCCTCCATTGCCCCAGCCCTTTTTGTGCCGTCGTTTCCCACGGCGATTCGCAAACCTGCCCAGGGAGGGAGGGGGGGGGGGGGGGGGGCAGGAAAGGGGGAGGGAGAGGGGGAGTTCTTTAACTTTTTAATCTCGAGAAAGCCCACCTCATTTCAGCCACAATGCGGCAAAGCAGCGCAGAAATCTGCAGACCTCGTAAAGAAGAAACGCCGCCTTTTCAGAGCGTCCGGCTCATGGCTAGGCGTCAACAGGCACTTCAGGCCTGCCAAGATTTAACAGGAAGAGGGACCGACAGCGACAGGAAGGGCGGACGCACTTTTAGGGCAGCGTCCTTGGCAAGGCCTGCAGGTGTAGTCATCCCTGACGTAGTTGCTGGGGCACTCCAGGGTGCAGGAACCGTTGAAGGGGATGTAGTGCCGGTACTGGGAGTCGCCGCCGTCCGCCTTGCGCTGCCGGCAGTATGCCTCGTCCACGCACCGGTGGCCCATGTACTGCGGGGCATGGGCGGCGGCATCACGCTTTGCCTCGTCCCGTTAAAGGGACGCTCCAGTCGTTTTTGGAGTTACCCATACAAATAGCATTCTCTGAGTACTCAAACTTTAGTCTTCACAGCATGCTATTTACTGTCTCGAAATGCAATATAGCTGTTGAAAAAAACCACAAGTGAAGATGATGTCGAAACCAACATTAAAACTTTGGTGCACTTCTCCAGCAGCGTGATGTCACAAATGGTACAGGCTTTCAGGTCGCACAGGTAGTCTTAAACCGAGTATGTCAAGCATTTTTATGTGCTTCTCGGTTAATGGGCCTCGAAGCATTTTTTTCCCACTATCAAACATCCTGTAATCAGTTTGGAACGGGCATCTACACTGTCCACTTTGTACAATTTCTGTCGTCACACTTTAGTGTTGCCAGTAAGGGCTGTCAGTTTGAGAAACACGATGAGAACGAAATCCAAAAATTCAACGACTTTGCAAATTTCTTTTTCTTTTGATGCAATACTTGGGGGAGTGGTACAGCCATGTCTAATGATGCGTTGAGCCAATTTTGAGGCAAATCTGCGACCATAAAAAAATTGCTGCAGTACCCCTTTAAAGGGGCACTGACACCCCAAAGGTCGTATTTATTTTTATTGTCTAAAACGATGCAAGTTGTAGTCATAGACACGCAAAAAAAACCGCATCGCGAAAAAAAATTTTCCCGCGCGCGCGCCTTTTTATTTTTGGCGTTTGATTTTCCCGCCTCTCGCCTCCTCGCTTCTTTTGATCGGCGACGTCAAAAATCAGGAAATTTAGAAGCTTTGTAGGCGACATCTCTATAACATTTAATTACGGCAATCCTAAAACATGTTTTTTAACGCAATTGCGAACGCACTACGGCCCTTCTTTTTGAAATACCAAAAATCGGGAGTTCGTTGTGGTGCCGTCTCCTGGATTTGTATCCTCCAACGGAAAACAGGCGACACCGCTCAAAACCGGTCCGCCGCAACGCCGGCGCTAGCCGGCGCTCGCTCCTATCCTCCTCGCTTTGGGTCGCCATGGCAACAGCAGGGAGTGGTGACAGGAAAGTGGACTCTCAGGTCTCCTCAATTTTTGACGTCAAGGCACCGGCGCCGATCGCGCGGGAACTTCGAATTCGGCATTTGGAAATTGTTTTTTTACTTCACGAATACTGAATTCCCAAATCTCAAATTTTGAGGGTAATGTCCCGGCATCGTTTTCAATCGTTTCGGATAATAAAAAAAAATATGATTTTGATGTGTCAGTGACCCTTTAAGGGAGTCGGAGAGAGTTGGACCTCATCACCGAACTTTAGAAAGTCCACCCATCACATTGGTGGATTGCCGAAAGCAGAATCGCATTCACATGCAATGGGGCGGTTCTCTGAATGTGTTTGTCGTTACGAGAGTACCCTGTGGCCTATTCGCGACAATTCCACTTATGACAACTTTCTGTCAGAACAAACACGTGTGCAGGAAGCAACAAACTTCGTGCGAGGCTTATTGGGCATAAATGCTAGTCCACTCGTATCTAGGTATCCTTCAGAATTAAACTAGGCTTCCTATCTCGGAGAGACTGCCCTTATGCTGTAGGACATCATTAAAACAAGCCAAATCATCCCCTTCGAAGATAAAAAAAAAAAAAATCTTTATCTTGGGGAGACTGATTTTATGCTGTACATTCCAAAAACCAACCAAATCCCCTTGTTCAGCAATCAAACGAGGTTTCAAATCTTGGCGGGACCGACCTCATGCTGTACAGCATCTCTAAAAGCCGGCCAAATCACCTTCTTCAGCAATCAAACGAGGCTTCATATCTCGGAAACACTGACCTCATGCTCTATAAGATCTCTAAGAACTGGCCAAATCACCTTCTTCAGCAATCAAACAAGGTTTCCCATCTTGAAGACACTGACCTCATGCTCTACCACATCTCTAAAAACGGGCCAAATCAACTTCTTCAGCAATCAAATGAAGCTTCATATCTCGGGAGAGTGACCTTACGCGGTACATCCCTAAAACCCGACCAAATTACCTCCTTCAGCAATCAAGCGAGGCTTGATATCTCGGGGAGACTGACCTTATGCTGTACAACATATCTAAAAAAAACTGCCCAAATGCTCAGCTAAGAGACAACTCACTCACCACGTAGGTGCTCGGGGGGCAGGTGGTGACGCAGCCGTTGCCGTATGTGTAGTGGAGGCACGCCGTGCACATGGAGAGGCCCCGGCCAGAGGAGCCGGCGCAGCCGCCCAAGCACTTGGGGTCGCAGCACCGGTCCCCCCGCTCATCGTCGCACGTCGTCTGGTTACGGTCGCAGCCCGGAGGACACACTGCGCCACGCGGCAGAGAATCAGCAGCAGCCTCAAGGAGCTCGTGGCGCCTTATAAGGTTATTTGGCTTTCAAAGTCTGTGCCTGCCCATTATACACTAAAGTCCCAAAACCAATTTGGCTGCCAAAGGGCTGTGATCGAGTCACCAGCGGTAAAATTATGTTCACTTCCTATAAATGCACTTGCTCCCAAAAAAGAGCCTAAGGAGAGATTAAAATATTTCTACAAATTGTGTTTGTTGTTTGTTTCCTCATCATCTTACACATATAGTTGCTTTCTGAAAGAGGCGAAAAACAATTTTAACTATTTTCTGCACATGGCATTTTCTAGAGTATTTAAAGCGTTCACTAATATCTACAATCCTTAACTGACAGATACCACATTGGTTGTGCGTTGAATGTCAATCAGTCAACTTACTCGGGTGGAGTTGTTATGTTCCTGACCAAAAGAGAAATTTCCTATTCCACAAGAATAGGGTACAGCTAGATTTTCTTAGAAAATAGAATGGAAATTAGGGACTTCCTTAATCCTTACAAAAAATAAAACAAAAAATGGGGCAGTCCATATAAAGAATTGAAGATCCCCAGGGAATATGAAATGTAGCTTCCTACCAAAAGGAAATCCTACGAAGAGAAAATAAGGAATGGCTAGGTTCAATATCCTTCGAAAACTTCCTACAAAGAAGTCCTTAGACCCATAAGAAAAAAAGAAGAATTAGAGATGGTAGAAAATCTCTAGGGAATACCTCATTTCCTACCGAAAAAAATTCTCTATTCTCTAAGAACATGAGATGTGTCTACATTCCCTATCTTTAGGTAATTTTTCATGGAATAAAGAATGGAAAATTAGAAATTCCTTAACCCCAATCGAAATAAAATAAAAATGGAGAATCATTAAAAAGAATAATAAGTGCCTGGGCAATAGGAAATGGCCTGTACCCAGGGGATGGAAAATATCTATATTCCCTACCAATAGAGAAAACAAATTCATTTTTCCTAATACTGAATGCCTAGATTCCCTATCCTTAAGAAACTTCCTATGAAATAAAGAATGAAAAAGAGCCTTTGCTGTTTTTTTAATTGAAAAATAAAATAAATCTGTAAATAAAAAAGGAATAGGAAATTCTTGGGGAATGTGGAATTCTCTTTGTGTTTTTAATGGGGAATACCTATATTCTTATCAAATAGAAAAATTCCCCATTTCTTAAAAATATTGTATGCGTAAATTCTCCCTCCCCAGGGGATAAGGAATTCCCATTGAATTATTGCCTGAAATAAGCAATTCCTTTTAACCAATGGAAAATTTTTAAAAAAGCATGGGAAAATTGATAAAGAGGAATGGAAATCCCTGGGTAACAGGAAATTCCCCACTCTTAGGGGCTACGGAATTACTACTCCCCTGCTCCCAAGAATAGGAAGGCTGCATTCACCCTTCTGGCAGCGCTCCCGGCTCCAGCAGAGCCGGCTGCCGCCCGTGCCCTGGGGGCAGTAGTCCGGGCACGGGGAGCACTCGGCAGGGTCCCTGTTGTCCTGGATGTAGTGTCCGTCCACCGCGTGGGGCGCGATGCGTCCCCAGTCCACCGTGTCAGCGTGGCACAGGTTGGGGTTCTTCTCGATGCGCACCGCGCCCCGCCGGATGTCCGTGAGCCGAGACAACCCCAGCTCCACCAAAGACTCCATCTCGAACACCACCAGGGCATAGTTCTGGGCAGTGGGAGCACCTTACGCTCAGGGACGCGGCGCCAAGGGTCCCCTACTCGGAGACTGCTACGAGCAGCAATGGCACAAAAAAGATCAGGGGCTTCTAAGTTGGAGACTTCGCGAGAAGGTCGGCAAGATCGCCGACCGCCACGTCTGACCAGTGCCAAGGTCACGCGTGACGCTGGCCATTGCGGCGGTCGGCTATGTTGTCGACTTTCTTGCCGAGTATCCAACTTAGAGGCCCAGGACAGTTGAGAAGACCCACACAGAAAGACAAACAAGGGCACTGACTTTCTGTGTGTGTCTGCTCTGTTGTCCTGGTCATTTCTGCACTGTTGCTGCCCGTAATGAACCACAAACTCTCCCCAGCTTCCATGTTAACAAGGTGTAGAGACTGGCTGAGCGCTTTCTTTCTTGAGGCAAGCTGGACCAGACCAGTCACAAAAGCACTCAGAGACTGTTGCAAACGGACAATAGAATTTACACAAGCTTGGTTACGCCGACTAAGACCAGGGGCACAGAATGTTTTGAATGGTTTGTGCTAGGTCTGTTTGGCTCAGATGAGCTCCGTCGGAAAACCGCACACATAAAAGTTACTCGACCCTGTTGCGCACACACGACCCTATTACTTCACTCTGTTGACACGCACATTAGAGGGTTGCTCGACCCTGTTGAACATACGGCAGGGTTGCTCGACTCAGTTGTTTGTGAACATGACAGGGTTGCTCGACTTTACACACATGATTTCAACTGGTATTACATCTTTTTGTTTTTATCACGTATGTACCACACTTGCCCTTTTACATTGTATAACTTTTTTCTTGTTTATTTACAATGCTTCTTTGACTGATGTCAAATGCTGGGCTAACTTTTGACCGTCAACCCTTTATTACCAAGGAGTCCCCTCAACAGTTTTGTTTGATAACCCGTTGGGACCCCTTCATCTTCATTTCTTCTTCTTCTAGTTGCTTTAGGGGAATTCCCAGTGCAATGAATATCAGTAAATGTTGTTGCTTTTCAAAAAAATGGTGTATGTCAGTGTTCGTCTCCCTTAAATGCTTTATTATTTCTTTCTCTGTGTTTGGGACTTCTGCTTGAATTAATATCTTACGAACTAACAACTTGTTTGAATATAAAAACATATTTTGAGTTGACAGGGCTGATCAACTTTGTTGTACACACATGACAGGGTTGCTCAACTCTGCTGCACACATGTGACATAGTTGCTTGACTGCGTCGTCAACCCCACTCACGTGGAAGAGTTCGCTGCCCCGTATGACAGCCAGGTTGGGAAAGAGGCGCCCCAGGGACTGCAGCCCGACTGCCCGGTAGAAGAAGAGGAAGCCCGTGATCTCCGTGAGCTGAGGGAAGCTCACGTTGCCCCAGAGCTCCTCGCTGCGGGTCAGCATCACCATCAGGGAGCCCTCCACCACCGAGCAGTTGCCCAGCTGGGACACCAGGCTGCTGATGCGGTTGCGCACCTCGATTCGGCCGCAGACTGGGGGAGAGGTTGCGTGATGGACACGGTTGAGGACAAGGTTGCGGGCAAGGTTGCGGGAACGTTTGTGCAACGTGGGGCCTAAGCAACAGGTGCATGGCTAGCAGTGCAGAAAAATTAATGATTGGCTTATGCACATTTTCACATCGCCAGCCTTCTACCTGTTCCATAAGCGGTAACTTTAGCGCACGCCCGCACTTCCCACATGTTTTATGTCATTCTAACATACAAGTTCAGCGGTTTTCAATGACTCTCGGCAAGTTTCTAATTAGAACCATATGTTTACTTCAACTAACTAAAAATTTAGGCAACATATTTTAGTCAATATTCGATTTATGACGGTTAGCCCCCCACATTATGTCCCACTGGCCATATAGATCACCTGCACAGACCGTATTAGAGTACCTTTTATGGCTGGTTTTAAACATCTCTCTTTGAATTATAATGAAACACCTTGCATAGACCATGTATGTAAAATATTAAGCCTGTTACAGCTCAGCTATAATGCCTAAAACACTTGGCCCCAAGATAGTTCTGAAATAATGGTTATTGTGCAAAATGTTTTAACATATATCATAAAAGCTAAAAATGCCCAGGTAGAAGTTACAGTAATTTTAAATTTCTATGTTTTGCATACTTTTAGACTTTCTTGTTTTGCGACATCACTACAGCGATGAGTAGAAAACAAGCATGTACACTCCCCGCGTAACACTGCTAGCGCAAACGCAACAATGTCCCTTTTCTGCCTTTTACTTGGACAGAGTATTGATGTGCACCAAATTTCACTGCTCAGGTTACTGCCCCAAATTATGACTTTCCACCACACTATAGTATTTTTGATGGCATCCATTCAATTTCAAGAAAGAAACAGAAAAAAGACAATTGCTTGTTTGTGCTAACAGTGTCGCGTCGTGTATAACTCTGAGCATAACAAACAAAAGAGCCATTAAATGAGCCCGAAAAGATGGGCAGGCTGTAAAGTCGTACTGAATTGCAAAGTTATACCGCTACACTCCAGAAAAAAATTATTCACATGAATGCGCTTCAGTTTAAAAAAAAAAAAAAGAAGTGAAAAGGTGGTTTTCAAGATGGGAAGAATCATAAGCAGTATTCAATTATGCTTCCAGATAAAGAATGTATTGTAACAATCATATATAGGATTGCCATTTCTGACGAAACGAGCACAGTGTTCAATTCAAATGTTACTAGTCAACAACTGTTTTACTGATCATCGGGGGACTTTGAACTCTGTCAGAAACCCTTGCATACAAGCCAAGCCGCATAAGGATTTTGGAAGAATTCTGCACCATGGATTCATAAAAGCCAAATAAAAATTGCCTGACCCATCTGAGTGGATAGAGTCACTGTGCTTAAAGCAGAAAACTTGACTATTAACTGCAGTGTGTCTATAAGTGGGAAACTAAAGAGAGCCACTGTGATATTGTTTTGTTGTGTGAACAAACAGGTCGCTCGTGGCTTGAAGTGTGACGTTCCAACCTGATAGCAGCACTTATCACTGCCGACCCTTTAACATACTATTATGAGGGTCAGAGAAGGTTCTTGATAGGTTAAAAATAGAAGGCTGCTTCACCGTCCACTGCCGAGTATTCCTTAGTGAACTGTGCCATATGTTTCAGGAAGGTACCACAGCCACTGAGGATGATAACAGAAGGGTTGCGTATGTAACTATAACTAAAAAGTTCAGAACAGAAAAAAAAAAAAAAAAGTTTAGTAACCATATACAAAAAAAAGAAGTGATTCGAATCCATCTGAGATTTTTCTCAGGCTGAGGAAGTTTTTAAATCCCTCAGCCTATTACAATTTCAAAGCCTACCAAAGTTTACTTCTGATAAATCCCAAATCCAGTAATAGAAGCGGCATCTGACCCTTTTTACCTGGTTTTGTAGCAGGTAACATATTCGTTTGGAGCAGCCACCAATGGTTTTGGAGCAGACACAAACATCTGCTACCAGACCACTTGAAAATGACTAGGTGATTGCATCGATTGCTGAATGGGTTTATCTTTGATAATAATCGAAATTTCCTTTTTTTTAGCGCTGAAGCACATTACTTTTTATCTTTTGTAATAAGAATAGATAGGACACAAAAAGAACACACAGCCTTCTTCCTTGGAAAAGGGGACACAGGTTCAAAATTAAACATAGCTCAACACCAGTTGAGATAAAGCCCCCCTCCCCTTTTGCAATCAGTAGCTTATTTAGCCCGTAAATATAATTCTCGTAAAATGCCTGCAAAACCAGCTAAGTAAATCTATGAATAAAAATATGTCCCCCTATGCCTTACGAACCTGCCAAACTCGAGATCACAAACTGCAAAAACAACACTCAACAAATATTATGAAAACCTACAGTGGTGCTTTAAAAGTGACACTGTGCTTTACCGGCATTGGATCCAGAGTTGAGTCAAAAGTTTGAAGCCCTTGACCACTGACCACTAAATAGGAACTACCTCGAATGAGGTACCTACTTAAATACACACACATTTTGTTTTTTTTATCCCCTTTCTTGACACAGCCTTTTTAGAGTTGGAGGTCAACCTACAGTCAAGACCAAAAAGGGTTGAGGTGTAATAGAACTCAGCATAACATCCGAGCCAATTGCGCTGACCCAAACGCGGCACCCCAGCGACGCGCTGGTGCGAAGCGGTGAAGGTTGACGCGGACGGCGCAGGTGCCACTGTAGACTGGGACCATGGTTCGTAGCCATGGCATGGAGGCATGTGGCAGACATGCTAATCATGTGATCTCATCACCCTGCTTCTGCATCATCACAGTAGCTGCCCATCCCCGCTATTTTGGAAAAAAAAACACCTTTCTGGAGACTTCTAGCTCCCGACGTCGCCGACACCGTCTGGAAATTCAGAGGGTGACGAGGCCGGCGCAGCCGATGCTACGATCCAATGGGATCAATCGAACAGTGTCCAAAGTGAGGCATTTGTCACCGTTCCGTACGTGTTTTTTCATAGGCTAAATCAATGACTTGCGCTTTTAGTACAGGTATTTGTGGTTGTATGTGTTTGAGCTTTCGACTGTGCTCTGACCCAAAACGAAACATATCTTGCGGTGAGTGAAGACACTGTGAAATGCATATTTGTACCATTTTCTTTTCCTCCTGCATTTCGTATATTAACCCCTTGTCTGTCTGCTAGTAACAAGTGTCCCTCCTGCCACCCCTTACAAACCATAAAGCCCGATCACGAGTGTGACTCGCTCTTCGGTTTCGGCGCTTGTGTAGCGCACTTTCTGGCAGATGGCAAAATCACTCCTGTTGCTCCATTTACCTTAGGCACTTTGTTCGTTTTGCTGTTAGACAAAAAGAGAATGCTCCATTTAGCCAAGAAAAAAAAAAGCAGTCGCTTGTAAGCATTTGCGCTAAAACAACATGGCCTTGGCACGGAGGTCCACTAGCCATCAAAGGGATACAAAACCATCTTTTTGAATGGAATTAATGCTTCATGCATATGTGACGGCCAATCCTTCGACCTTTCCAATTTTTAGGAATCAGGCGATAGTTTGATGGGAAGTGACGAGAGTGGTGAAATTGATGAGAATCCTGCAAGCATTCCGTCAACTTCGGCGTCTGCCCGTAAGTGGGACTCACATCAGAGGACCTGATTTAGAGCACGAATGACATCTGGAGTGTGTCTTCTTGTATTGGAAACTGCCCATTTAAAATAAAATTTTGTTGTGCGTTCATTGAAGAAAGAAATGAGTAGGCAAGGGGTTAAGGTCAACCAATAATAAATTAGTAGTATCTTTTGGTTTAGCTAAGTCCATCTTGGTGCAGGCGTGGCACAATTCTTAGCAAAAATGGCACTTTTGTGCAAGGTGTAGCAGAGTTTCATTCGTGGTGCAATTTGGTGCAAATAGCACAGTACTTCCATCACTGCAAGTCCAATGAAATCCGGAGGAGAAAACATAACTGACATTCACAAACACATAGAAAAACATTTTAAGTGTGAGCCATACCTAGAGAAACGCAGTCGGAGAACTGAACAAAAAGGTTGACTGGAAGTTATGCGAGTTTCCTACTCAAAGCACAGCATGTTCCCTTAGGCGTGACATGTTACGCTAGAAAGACTATGCAGCAAAGCAGAGCTATTTCTGCCAAGTCTTTCTAACGAATCCAACTAGACAAAAAGTTGCCAGAAAATATTCTCCAGGCATTTTATATACAAGACCCCTTTTGGACACAGAAAATAAAGTAACCATTCACTGGTCTTACCAAAGAATGCATGAAAAATTCAGAGGAAACAAAAAAAGGCAACTCAAAAGGGTTGCCTTTTGGAATTAAATCAAATTCAGTAGCAACAATCTTTTTTGTACTTGTCCTTTTTCCTGCAATTTAAAAAAAAAAAAAAAATTATAAACACTTCAAATTGTTTTGGGCAATTAAATTTTTATTATTTAAACTAAAGGTGCAGCCTCAGTTCAGAACCTGCCAGGTGTCATTAAAAAGCCGCTAAAACAGCTGGCTATCAGGAACCTCCAAAGCATGAGCCTCCATTTACTGCGTTGTGAAAAAGGCAGTAACTTTGGAAGTGTGCAGAGGCTTTGATTTTGCGGTAGCCGTGTCTTTACGGCCATTGAATCGTGTGCATCGAGGAAATGCCGATATCCTGTGATGCAAGTCCGCACGCAACCTTTTAATTTTTTATTTTTTTGTCTTCTTTCTTATTAAAGTGTGCTTCACAAATTAATGCTTCAAGACAATGCTGTGAGAAAATTTTTTTTTCAAAATCATCCCCCGAAGTTGATATTACAACTGATCCCGTCTATGTTTAGTCACCGATTCGACCATGCAATGTCAGTCGTCGTCACCAACTCATGGCAGTGCAGTCAAGTCGCTTGGTTTCCTGACTTTCCCCGTTTTCCCCCGATCATTCTGGCAAAATCCGTCGAGACAGGCATGTAGCCAGGATTTCATTTCGGGGGGGGGGGGGGGGGGGGGGGGGCACCCATGACAAAATGCTGTATGAGGGGAGGAAGATCCCCCCCCCTGGCAACGTGCCTGCGTCGAGAGGTTTGCTAATATGTCTAAATTCACCAACAATGACAACGGCAAATTACAGCAAATTGTCACCTCCCATGAGCTCCAAATTAATAGCAACCCTTGCAAATGGGGTGACCCACCACAGTTTTGCTCATTACTCGCTTATTACTCAATTTATTAATACTTATTACTATTTATTACTCATTACTCAATAGATAGTTCTGTTTGGTAACAACCGACAGAACTATGTATTGAAACACTGAAAAAGCTGTGACCCAGCCTTCCAAGACCACGAGACGACAAGAGCATGCATCCAGGTAATGCCTACTACCAAACGTCCCTTTTTTTCACAATGCATAAACTGAATTCCCAGAAATTTCTTCGACTTTCCCCCCAGGCTAGGCTGACCAAACCCCCTAACAACTGCAACCATCTTAACAACCACTGCTCTAAAGTCCTACTCAAAAGTATAGGGCTTCAGTTGAGCATTGACCAGTCGGTCGCAAGCTGTGGCAGGGAATTCTTACTCTTTCGGCCAGGGTCCCTGAGTGATTGGCTCTCTGGTGCCAGGTCCACAGATGCTCGCTTCTGGAGTGCCGCCATGCCTGCGGACAGAGAAGCAACGTCCATCAAATCGTGGGAACCTAGACCGCAAAAAAGGACTAGCCCACACGAGATAGTCCGAGAAGAAGCCGGGCAGGGCTAAGCGTGGGCAGCGACTTCTAAGGGCCACGAGGCAAAGGTTGCAAGAGGGACATACAACTGTTCCGAAATGCGTCCTTGGTGCGCTGGAACGCAAGGAGGGGACACACAGGGAATGCCCAATGATGAGGCAGTCGAGGGCGCGCCATTTTTCACCAAGATCGGGGGAAGCATGTGGACGCATTAAGCGGGTAAACAAACGCACGAAGTGTGCACAGAGCAGACGAGCTTGCACGCTGTATACCGCATGATGCGTAAGAAAGGAGGGTGTTGCGGACCATTAGAGTCATTCTCAAAATAGGAACCAGGATGCTGAAAAACGACACGCTTTGTGTGAATGTTTTCCCAGTTCAACAGCCAACATTAAAAAAAAATATTTAGCCTAAAGCGAAAGTATTGTAAAATACCACAGAAGCACCCACTTCGTTCAAGCGCCCACTATTAACATTTTCTAAATATGGGAATTCTGCAAATTATAGACCGACATGCGGCACGGCTCTTTTTACCAACACGGCCGGAAGGCCGTGCATGCGCAGAAGCGGCCAGGCTCGCAGTGTTTTCACCATTGCGCTGTGGGGCATGCGCTCGTTGTTGACATCGTAGAGATGCTTCTAGCTTTATATGTGCATCATATTTCTTATCAAAGTATGTCGTATGTTATGCCTGACCATTTCAGATCGCTACCCGAGCCTCAGCAGACGAGACCCGACGAGCCTCTCCTGCCCAAACGTCATCGCTAGTAGATCCCCGCAGCGCAGCCAGCGAATCTCACAGCGTCTCTCCAGGAGCGCGACGCCAAGACGGGAGCCGCTTTTCCCGCACCCCTCGTCGAGCTGCCGCTTGGGGCGGGTCCGAGATCCACAAACGATGACGTCATTCGCAGGCCTTGTCTTCAAAATGCGGTGCCCGTCTGCGCCGCAGGAGACGTCAGCGGTCCCAGGCAAGCTCAACGAAGAGCTCGACGTCTCGCGCGCATTTTGCCGGCTCAGTTTTGGTTCAAAGCCATGTGCAAAAATAAATTTTTTTTTTAAATTTAAACTTTACGATACGGTTAGACTATGGGTTTAGCATGAATTCTCCAACTAAATTATGCCCCAAAAATGAAAAGCAAAAAAAAAAGCTTATGAATGCTTTTTAGTTAATTATCTATCTAATTAACCCGTTTCTCCTCTTTTTGGGATGGCCCAAATGGCCACCAGCCACTTAGACCCAGAGCTAAAAAAAAAACCTAACCCAAGTTCACTTCTTTTTTTTTTTTTTACTATAAATTAAAAAAAACACCCTGTATTCGACGCGACCAATAGGATCTGGAAGTTCAAGGAATGTGTCTCCAAGTAAAAAGCACTGGTTCAGGCAATATCTATTCCATGTATTCGCTAAACAAAGCTCCGCTACTCTGAAGCAGGTACGTTGTCGCTTTCCCGCAGCACCCTCTTCCACACCCATTTTTACACCCTTCAGAAATAAAGAGCATTCCACTGGACCTAATTATAAAGGGTCTACCGCTTAAAATAGGGTTATGAAAGCACGTAACCATGGGTGTAAATATCTGGAACAATCGTTTTCACACGCATAAAAGTTTCGAGTGCGTGAGGCCGAGGTTTTCCCCGTTCGCCAAGTTGCGCTGTAACAGGGTGAGATGTGACGAACACGTGATGTTATTTTCATTTCTTTTTCTTTTTTTAACGACTCGGAGCTTGACTTTACGTGCACGTTAGCTCACTCGCAAAGCGGAAGGAAACGGGAGTGTCCTTATTTTGAAATATCGACGAAAATTCGAAACATTGTTGCGTAAACAGATTTGAACGCTTCGCGAAAGGCAAACTACATACAATAAACCGATATGTTTGTGTTACCCAGCTTACGACCTTCTAGAAAAAAGGAACCACGTAGCGTTTCTTGCGAGAAATGAAACCCCCTTCAAGTAGGGTGACCACCTTCCTGCTAGCGAAATGCGGGACACGCTGACCGGGTGTGTGTGTGTGTGTGTGTGCGTGGGAGGGGGGAGGGGGCGGGTTGTAAGAGAAGAACGGTATTATATTTCAACTGCAGCAACTGCAAAAAAGAACTTGGTGCGCATTCGAGCTGGTGAAAGTTTACCTTGGTGCTCTTTAACCCGAGACGTCACTTACGCAAGGACGACGGTCGCTTTCCGTAATGCTTGGTTAAGAAATGGTGTGCCATCGCCCTTACCTGTGTCCCGTTGTTCGGCAGAGCCATGAGTCGCGTAGTGAATTTTACGGCAGTGGGAATTTCGGGACATTTTGAAGAGTTTGATATTTCTTCCGGGACGCGGGACACGAGCCCTCAATACGGGACAGTCCCGCGAGTCGCGGAACGGGTGGTCACCCAACCTCCAAGCAATAACAAATGCAAACAGCGCAAAAAAAAAAAAGGTTTGTTTTATTTATTTCTTAATGTTTACAACGTCCACGCGCCTGAGTCGGCGATTATCGGAGGGCGCGTGCTATGCACGCGGCGACTTTCGAAAACCCGATAATAGGCCGAAGCATCCGGGTGCAAGCCAAACGGTGTGCTAATCATAGCCCCCGAGATTGCCATTGCGCGCGCAGCGGCTCTTTGGTGCACGGGAGATCTCGGAGGCCGCAGCTGACGGCGTGAACCGCCGCGTTCGGCTGCAACGCGCCCAGAGAAATATCAACCCACGCGGACCACTACAAAAACAAAAACCAAAACAAAAAATTCTTTAAAAAAAAAAAAAAAAAAAAAAAAAACATTGATTGGAAGTAAAAAAAATTTACACGATAACAATTTTAAAATTTTGTTATGGTAGAAGCACGCTGGATGAGACCAAGAAATGCGATGTGCACAACGTGCATAACGTTTCACTTGCTCATTGTCATATCGTTTTTTTTTTCGTTTTTTTTTTTTTTTTTTTTTTTTTAAATCGTTTTGCGAGTTTTGTTATTTGCTGGGTCACGGAACTCGTCAACCACAAAGCTGGGGGCCGAACTTCCCAGAGCATGCTGTATGAACTTTCGCGACGATGGCGTAACGCGGGACGAGGTGTCAATCGTATAAACTCTCTCGGGGATCAAATTCCAGCGAGATTGTGAAACACAAAGTCCTGGCGAGCTCCACCGGGGCGCGCGTGAGCAACACCGTGGGGCCCGCCGATTGAGCGGCTGCGCCGGGGACGTCGCGCCCGCTTGTCCCTACATCTCTACGACGCGTCATGGCGATTTCCACGGGCCGTCGTGGAGCGGGCCGGGATCGACTTTTCTGGAGCGCGCCTCTTCCACTGGGCGATCGGAGTCGAGACGGACGTGTTCCACTCGTCCGTTTCGGATCAGCTCCCACTCCAGATCTCGATCTGGATCCGAGAAAAGTCGCTCCGCCGATTTCGGCGGATTCGACCGGAAGCCAACCGGCCCTCGGCACGCACACGTGACTTTACTGCCGCTGCTGCTTGATGACAGTTGTCTAAACTTTCTCGTCGCGAGATCGTCGCTTGTGGAAGTTATTGGTGACGGCAAAGTGACGTTTCACGACTTTGGGAAGGGGTTATTTGAGGCCGAAATCTTCGCTTCGGAATCGAGGCGAAGATTGAACTTTGCGATGTTGTGGAGCCGTGCGCGGTGTACGCTACTTTAGAGCTCATCTTCTGTCACTTTCAACAATAGGGTCACCCAGAGACGGTGTATGTAGCGACGTCCGTAGTGTCCGAGAGATGAGGGGCGACGGAGGATGGCGATGTACGACCAACACACACGCACACACAAAAATAGGGGTCAGAAATTGCCATAGAAATGCTTCGGGAGAGAGAAAGAGAGAGAGAGGGGGGGGTGATTGTAGTGGAAAAGGGGGATATCCCTACCCCGAATTTCGTATACCTTTCTGAAATGTCTGGGCCCCCTTTATCCCTTTTGCCTTCTCTTTTGACGCCAGAGGGGGGGGGTTAATCGCCCCCCCTCCCCCCTAGTCCACCCCCCCCCCCCCCCTGGCTACAACACTCTCGTGCTCCTCATTAACGTCGATAGGCGAGACGGCGCGACCTCTCACGCCCTCTCAGGAGGCTATCTTTATCTTCCTGTACTCCTCCACAGAGATTCACGTGCTGGTTATAGTCTAGTCTCGACTATACTCCGTTTCACCTTCCGTCCGAGCACAGCGGACGCTAGGAGCCATCCCAGCCAATGCGGCGTTGATTGAGTGTCATGCGACCGTGAGCTCCCTGTGTCGCCCCGCCCCACCGGCAGGTCACGCGACTTTCTCCCGGCGCTGGATCGGCTGGGATGGCTCGTGGCGTCCACTGCGCTCGGACTGAAGGTGAAACGGAGTATAGTGTCTGCGGCCACACCTGGCCATCTGCCGAGAAATAAATCTCGAGGAAAAACACCCCACAGTGCGCGGCTTGCACGGGACTTTTTTGTTCAAACGCACCTAGTGGCCGACCGGGTGTATGAAACGAACGCATCTGTACTCGACACACGAGAGAGTGGAGTTCCTTCTTCGGCTGTCACGAGCTTTTCCGTCGCTCCGATTGGCTGGAGGTGACAATAGGGAGTTTTAGTAAACCGTGTTTCCCGCTCCGCTAGCCCTCCGCTACGAAGAAACCGCCACTGCGCCTGCGCGCCGATGGCCTTGGCTGTAGAGTTCCGGGTAGCGGAGGGGCTTACCGGAGCGGGAAACACGGTCTACTAAAACTCGCTAGTACATCGCTCGCTCTTTTTCGAGTTACGGGGACACAAAGTACAGACCTTAGAGATTTTTCTCTCAATCCTACAACCGTTGGAATCTGTCCAAGTTCGGGGGTCGACCGGGTAATACGGGAGACTTGGCAGGTACGGGAAGGAGAGTGCAGCGGTGACCGGAAACAAGGAAGGCGCGGGTGCGGAAATCGGCCCGAGACGAACGCGGGGAAGTGCGAGGGCGACGTCGG